TTTCTGATGAAGGTTGCAACGTCAACCGAAATATATTAAATTTATCAAAGAATGGTTCTTTAAATTTGGCTTACCACCTTTATGCTTACTGCCCTGGACCAGGACTTTCCCCATCTTAACCACCCAATAATAGAAGGGAGGCTACAGAGTGCAAAGCGAACACAATACAATCAAGAATGAATCGCCAAATTTTATCCAAGCGACTTCTTCCGATTATATTTACCCAATAATAATATACAGTGGGTGTACGATTTTGCGAGGACTTCTAACGCTTCCAGCTGAATACAAATCATAGCTAACGATTTAGACAGTTGAATGAATCCGTCACGCGAAAATTTTCAGAGGCAATTAAGCATGCAGGCACCGAAAGAAGCGCGAAAGCCGAATGTAATAAAATTTGCATAAAACTGGAAATCGGAATTAACGCCCGATCGCATAATCAACGCCTTTACTCTTAATCAACCGTGTTAAAGCCATCACCTATGGTTATCAAACAGACGAACGACGCGCATGTCATGGCGGTATAAAGACGCTCTTCAAGCGCCACGGCGCTCACAACCTGCTCGCTTCCAATAAATACCAAACGCTAACCATCACAGTCTTCTCGAGCGTCTTTTCGTTCGCGAAACTCGCAACTTTCAAAGTTTTCAGTGCGCGCCACCAGTTTTGAATACATATATAAGCGATTTTCTCCGTCGAGCTTTTCGAAATTTACGAAAGTCCAGCAAAGGTAAGTGTCGCTTCCTCTATCATATATACCGAGGAACGGAAAAACGAAAATAACTAATTAAATCTCTTGTTACCTAAAAAAATTCCAGAGACACGTAAACGTGAAATTCCAATAACGCAATTATATAATTAGTCTGTCGGCAAACAAATTAGCTTTTAAACGTGCTTGGTTGATTGAGTTTACCGTTCCTTTTGACGGTGAAACCAAGCGCTTTCTGATTGACATACTTCCCAAAAAAAAACTGAATTTACAAAGACAAGACCCAAACCCACTCTTGAAACTAGAATGATCTCATTTTGCTACCTTGGGACGGATGGTAATCATTCCCAAAACAGAAAAAATCTAAATATGTAAATAATTCCCGGAAAGGTTTCGGGGATAATCCTGCATGCAGTCAACTTTGCATACCAAGAGCATATAGCAGGTATACATTTTTTACCGAAAAGGCATTCTGAGGCCAAAGCTGTGCAAATGTGATGTTATAAAAATAGAAACCTTGCCATTGATTTTCTATAATTTGATTAATTGTATTTTCGTGATTGAAACTGAATTTTCTTTTATTTACAAAATTAATGGGTGACGTAGGTGTAATTCAAACATAACACCACTATGTTTTGATAAATGTTAGACCTGCAAATCTTGCATACCTATAGAAACAACCTAAATTTGAAAAAGAAACATCCTTTTTGCTTCAGGCTAGGTTTTCAAATAACTTTTTACACTTGAATTGTGAAGGATGCATATTTATTCAGCCCTCGGTCAACTAGATGAATCTCGCCTCGTCTAAATCAAAAAGTGTGCACAAATTGTGGCTTTTCTTTTCTTTTACATCTTACATTTCGCGAGTTTTGGTTGAAATGAATTTCACGCTTTTTTAAACTTGGACACTAACTATTTAAGGATAGTACATTTTTGGGGGATGATGTCTCTGAAGTTAGTTTATTCATACAACACATGCTTATTATGATTACATTAGAACATTTCCGTTAGTTTTCCACTTCAAATAAGAATGTAGGTACTTAATTTTATCACCAAATAGAAAACTCAACATTATAATTTATTTACCCCGAATCAAACTAAGCGATAAGGCGATTTGTCCACGTCTGTTATCTGGCATAATCATCACAATGTTATTAAAGATAACAAAGGAGCCACTTTTTACACGTGTGTGTACAATGCATTACTACATGCATGGGCGTAGGTACTAAGTTCACCCCAAAAAAATGTCATTGAATAAAAGACATCGTGGAAGCACTTTATTATACCGTTGTGGTACCGTGACAAGTAGTATGGACATTGAATTTATAATTATGATTTCCCAGATCATAGAAAATTAAAATATGTAACCGTTCTCATCGTGAATCTACAATTTTAATGTGGACCAATAATGTTATAATATGCTATAATAATGGTAAAGTAAAAATTTAGGGCTGTTATAGACAATGACGACACTTTGTCCGTCAGTTCTCCAAGTAAAAATTGTACAAGAAACATGAAGCTTATCACTCATGCATGTGAATCAATACCTATGATCGTTTAGATTACAAAATATATCCCACATACAAGGTAAACATTCATCCACAGAAGATTTTCCAAATTAAAAACAAGTATGCTGTAAATAAACCAAATATGACTATTAACTAAATGGATTTTTCTCTAAACGAAACGTTAAACTAGGTAACTGATTTATTTAGTTTTCCATTTTTGAATTTTGCTTTAGTAACGTAAGCTGACAACGGAAGGAAACGGATTGTTAACGTAATAATAATAATAATATTTCTTTATTAAGGGGTAGGAAAAGCTTTGCAGCCATCAATCCCCCCTCTACAAGCTTACATAACAAGTGGCATTCTACACCAAAAAATACAATAATATAGCGATAGAAGAAATCAAAACAAACAATAAAAGAAGAATGAAAGAGTAGTAAAGAATCTATCAAAAATTTGTGACATCATTTCTTCTGCAGTTGCAGGGAGCCTCTGTGGAAGACTCCGTTTCCAACAAATTAGAGATTGCGAAGAAAGTTCAAGGACATGCCAAAACAAGAGCACTTGCTATTTCAGCTCCTAAAGAGGTCAAATCTGGATTACCCACAAGTTGGGATGGAAAACAAAGTAAAATCGTGTGATGTATTGCTATCGTAGTGCGCCGCCCCTTGTTATGTTGGAGTTATCATTAACCACTGCTTCGAAAACAAATTGGGTAAGTTCGTGGATGTGGCGGTTTTACTTGTAGAAATATGAATACCCATATTATTTGAGAAGAATAAGATGTGGTTATCTAACTTCTCCAGCTGTTAGAGAGTCAGTACCACAAGATCTAAGGGCCAATGGGGGTAAAAAGTTTCGCGAATAAGGAAGAATTTAGAAGTGAACGTATTTTTGGACTATGATGGATGGATTTTTGCATGAAATTGGGACCGTTACAACTCTTTCACATTTTCAGTGCCCTTTCTTCCTGCATTTCTGTTTCCTCCCCACTCCTTGGTTTTCCAACAGACACACGTAAAGAATATACCTGTGATCTCCATTTTAAAAAAATCTGCTTTTCTAAAAAGAAATTATAGGAGAATTGCATAATGTGTTGCCTACCCAAATGTGGTTAGGCTTAAAATTAACAAATTAATTGCAAAAAATATATTTTAAAACGTTAACATAAATGAACAATTACCAAAATGATTACAATCTTTTGCGTAAAAATGTAGAAATATGAGTACCCATTATTTGAGAAGAATAAGATCTAAAATACAATGAACACATTCTAAACAACATACTAAAAGGAGCATACTGTAGGTACGTATCTAACACCATAGTCCATAGGAAAAATGAAAGGCAGAAACATCTTAAACAGAGCGGATTGATTGCAAATTCTAAAAAAAAAGATTAAATTTGCAATGAACTAACAAACATAGACTTACTTGTACTAAATCAACTCCGGTCATAGCCTTCACTACTTGTGGAATTCCTGCGACCATGGTTAACACCTCACTGGTTAACTTGGCGGCACCTATTTCTCCCTGCCCAGTAGATACCATAGTGATCTTATTTGCTTGAGAAAGAGGAGCAGACACTTCGGCAACGACTTGCGGTAAAATATCCATAAACATATCCACCATTGCGGCTCGTTTGTACTCCTTCCAGGCTTCGGCCTTCTTAGCCATTTGCTCTGCCTCGGCCTTAGCTTTAGCTTCGATGGCGAACGCCTCCGCCTCCCCCTTCAACCGTAGCGCCTCAGCTTCCGCCTCCGCCTCTAAAACCACGCGCTTACAATTGGCCTCTGCAATTTTTTCCAGACGATATTTTTCGGCTTCCGCCGGACGTCTGATGGTCGACTCCAGCTCTTGAAGACGTCTGGAAGTTTCCTGCTCTTGTATGGCAATTTGCTGCGTGCGCTCCACAACTTTGATCTGCATTTCTTCCTCACGAATGCGCTGCTTTGTCTTGGCGGCCTGTAGGTCGTAGGCCAACTCGGCTGTCGCTCGTTGGGTGTGCACCTCCAAATCGTACGCGGCTTTTTTCAGTTCGTAATCGCGCTTGGCCTTTGCGATAAGCGTGTCGTTATGCAATACGGAAGCCATGCGCTGTTCTTCGGCGAGCGCTTCTTTGATGGTGGCCTCGGCGCGTGCCTCCGCCTCGCCAATTCTGGCGTCGCGTTTTACTTCAGCAGTTCGAGCCATGCCCAAACTGAGTAAATACCCCTATAAAAAGTGAGCAACTATAATAGATTCTTTGAAAACGAATGTATGTTTTTTGAGAAAGTGATAGCAAAATACAATTAAGGCATAAAATGATGTCGGCAAGATGGACTTTTTGGGTTCCAAATAGTACCTCAAGATTCGAAAAATACTTCAACAAGGTTTTTTCGAAAACGGTATGGGATTCGAGTTCTGCTCGTTCTAGAGAGTTTCCGTAATCGAATCTTGTGGTAAACCTTACAGTTAGAAAGTTTGGAGAATATTCCAAATGCCAAATATACATAGTTTGAATTCTGATTGGAGTAACATAGGTATAGCACCTTAATTTTTGTTGGATGATGATGCTTCAGGTTAAAAGAATGCAATCCACCTATCAAGTCCGGAGCACTAGTAGTGGTACAGACGGGCAGACAGAAAACGGTTATGATTATATTTCACGCGTTTCTATAAGAAATAGTTGAGAACGTTTTTGGTGGCATTTTGGAGATCTGGACGGAACTTTTGACGAAGTCTATTGTATTGATTTTTCGCGGAACTATTTTAGTGACTGATCAGAAATTTTAGAATTATATTAATGATATTTTTAGGCGAGTAAAAAAGTTTACTTTTGATGCTGCGTTGGCGTAGGCCGCCCATATTGTCAAAATTGATTTTTTATGACAACCTAATTATCAGAACTCTTTCTAAGATTAATCAAGAACTCGGGGCCTTGATCTCATTGAAAAATTATATAATGTGATGGGCGCGTTTTGATTGTTTTATTTACTTCAGCTCGTACTGAAAGGGGCACTCACCGTATCATCACTGATATCCTTAAGTGTGTACGAAACAACTGTAATACCCATATTAACCAAGTCTGAAGAGGCAACTTCAAAAACCTGTCTACTGAACTTCTTTCTGTCTTTATAAATTTCTTCCACGGTCATCGAGCCCATAATAGCCCTTTGATAGCCTTCGAGCGTAGCCAAAGCAATATGTTGCACCTCCGACTCCTTTTTCCCCAAAAATTGCTCACATGCGGCTAGGAGCATGTCCTTATTTTGCCCCTGGATTTTGACCTATTTTGAAATATGTAAGTACTTCACCGTACAGTGTTGATACATACTTGAGCGACGCCCGAGACTGAAATGGGCACCCCTTGGCTCGTATACACCTTTGGACTATCGATTTGTAGCGTCATTGTATTCAGGGATATTCTGGAAATTATAAAATTATTGTAGGAAAAAGGCGATTGTGTACGTACTTCTGAACTAACTGAACACACGGCCAGACCCAAACGCGACCGCCAGGTACCACATGAGGCCTTCTGTAGCAGCAACCTGCAATTTAAAATTTATAATTTTCGCGCCAGTTATCGCTGCGTGCGCATACTTTTACGCCCAGTTCTGTTATAACGTTAATTTTCTTTAACTATTTTTTATTTTTGCTTACCTGAAACAACGAGAGCTTCGTTGGGGCCGCATGTATAAAATCCCCACCCCATTATTAATTTCTTGCAATGTTTTAATGTTTAAAACAGGAAGATTAACAATTAGTAAAAAAAGCAAGCGTGTAAATCACCTGCTGCTAAGTAAGTTAGACATGCGCACGATTCGTATTTGTATTTTTAGTTCCTTTAATTGATTATAATCATTGAATTTTCACTCAACGTTATAATCAAACTTAGGAATTGCGTTTGACCTCGGTAATAATCGTGTTTGAAAAAATATTAATGAGCACGTTTAGTGTGCCCGTTCCAAATTATTCTGGAAACAATTAATTAATGTAAAATTAAAATTATAAAATTGTTATTGGTCATTATACCGATAAACAATAGTAAAAATAGCCACAATGGACTAACAAAAGTATAAAATCAGTAATTGCTAGGCTTTATTTTAACCAACAGTAACTTCAGTACTGGTACAAAAACAACATTTTTATTTATTTATTGTTCAACTTATATGCAATGCAATCCACCAACGGTCTCCAGAACGATGCAATTCATATTGAAAAGTAAAATACGGTCGATGTGTAAGATGAGTTGCCTATGCACTAGTAAAGGTAAGTACAGACCAGACAACAATCGCCCGCAACAAGTTGATGGATACTCGGCAACCTACGCACATGTTGTGCGACAAAAAATGAAAAGATGTTGTTGTATGTTACTTGCGTGGCTGTCGCTGGGTGTGGACGTTGTTGTCAACATTTATCTACCATATTACTTCACATATTTTCGTTTAAATTGCTTTTTTGTTAGTAATTATTTATTAAGAGGCAGAGTAAAGCGATGCAGGCTTTATAGGGGAGTCGGTGATGTAGTCCATCTGTATGCCTGTGAACTCGATAACTGGCAGACCTTTGGACCGTTGCCACATGTAACAAGCCTACTGAACCTTCATCAAATCCATTGCTTCGTAGGGTCACATGGACGATGCTATGCTCTGCCGTTTTATTAGATCCGAGGTTTCCTCAGACAATAAACCGTCGCCCCATCTTGTCCCAACTACGTTTTGGTTTGGACGCGCAATACTGTTGGCATACTGGATACAAGTTGTCGTGTTCAACAGTTGCCATCATTTTGTTGTCTGGTCTATACTTTACCTTGAAGCTGCTAAGGCCCGGAGCACATGAGCTGCAAAGTAATCGGGGCGCCGAGATTATACTTTCCCTCAAGATAGCCAGAAATACTTTGAGACTAATAGGGCAATGCACATGGAACGCTAATACCTATACATATATGGGATGCCCTGCCTCACAATCTCGGCGCCCCGATTACTTTGCAGCTCATGTGCAAAACCGTGATCTTACAGAATGCATTGTCGCGAAAGTTACTGTACTTACGAAGGGGTGGAACGTGGATTTACGCGTATACGGTGTCAAAAAAACAGAGACGGAAATTTATCGAAATCGACGAATACAAGAATTTTTATGAAGCAATTGCCACTAAAATCCGCTTTCAAAATATTGCAAATTAACTCCAAGTGTAGGTACCGGTTCATAGAAATTTGTGTGCACTAATTTGGTACTCATAGTCGTATTTATAATTACAATGTCATTATACCTATACGTACCAGTCCACGTTCACCTAAGGCACAGATATACATATATCTGTGCCTAAGGTGTTAAAACCTATTGAGTAACATAACTGTTGAGATGATTCTGATGATTCTTTTCCACCACTCTCTATCCTCTGCTCATCTCTTTACTCCTTCATATTCTTATTCACCTTCCTTCAGGTCGTCAACCAAGTTCCCTCGATTACTTCCTTCGTTTTATGATCTTTAACATACTTTTCTTTTCTCTCTAATACTTGCTCATCTTATCCGTCCGAATGACATTCTTCTCCTCTTTTTCACTCACAGCAAATGCAATCGTGTCATCCACAAATCGTATACTAACAATCCCCTTTCCTCCGATGTTAATATCATATTTTCCTCTGTTCAGTGCTCCGACATATTTTCGTCTTGTCTTCTACATATAAATTAAACAGAATTGGTGATAAACACTATCCCTGTCTAACTCCTTCCCCGTCTTTTTGCAGCTAACCATGGTTTCTGCTTTTGTTTCGTATTAGTCGCCCTGTTTGTATATCCCACAGTTTCTCCCAGTTTACCCAATCGAATACCTTTAGAATGCCAACAAAACTTGCACAGGCGGTCTTTCCTTTTTCCAAATATCTTTACTCGATCGTTCTTGCCTCCCCATTGCGTCGCTCGTGCCCATTCCTCTTTTGAAACCAAACTGTTTCTGCCCAATATTCTCCTCCATAACTTGTGTCACTATGTTCTGAACTTTTTTTTGTATCTTGTTTTTTAGGGAGAGCCAGAGCAGAGAAAGTCCTCTGGCCTTATCCGTTTCTTTTCTTAGTAGTTAGTTCAGTGTTAAGTTTTTTGTACAAACTGTTTCCTTAGTCTGTCCTTCAATGTTTAGCTTTCGTCCGTACCTTCACCTAATTTATCATTTTGGTTGTTATCCAAGATTTCTTTATTCTTGGCTAAAACCGATGCTCTGTTTGTTATTCCATCTTCCTTTATCATCTCCCAATGTTTCCCCACGTGTTCTTACTTCTTCTTTTTTTAACCATACATTCCACTCCATTTTTATCTCCAATTCTTCACTATAATAGCAGGCCTTTTTCTACTCCACATCCACTGACACCAGTAAAGTCCAAATGGATTCTTTTCACCTTGAAGTAGGATTCATTCCACATCCCGAATCTAATTCTATTCCACCCTTTCTTCTAAGATGCAAACTTCATATATTTCTCCTCCCGAAAATTCGATTGAGAAGATTTTTTTTACAATTTACAAATTTCCCGGTATAGGAAATTTTATACGTGTACCGCTTCATAATGAAAAAGAACAGAACTAATCAGTAATACGCAAGAAAATAAAGCGTGTTAAGATCAGAAACGAGTGTTCATGTAGATAAGAGTCGAAACGCTACAGTGTTTCCACTTGCCACTTCTAAAAGCGGTCGTGACGGAGCATCAGGGTATACAAACGTAAAAAAATATAACTCGAATCGGTGTTTCCTTGGGTCCATTTTGAGTATAGGATTCGGCAAGTAGGTACATAAGAGTGGGGGAGAGGAATTTTTCGCCAAACCTTCTGGGCAAAACTACGTAACGTAAGCGGAACACGAAATTCTTCGCCTAGCTTCCAAGGCTAGTCATGTGAATTGTATGCGCCATTTTTGAGATCGCCTGAAGATTCAATTTTCAATTGAAAGTTTGAGCCGAAAGCCATATAACTTCAGAATATTAAAAATCGTTAGCCACGCAACCGGAAAATTGTACTGTAATTTTTTGACGAAATTATGGGTGCTTAATGACTTTAAGTGTACAAAATCCCCCAAAAACGGTCGATATTTAAATTCAATTAATTTACATTATTGATGACTTGAAATATTCTCCTATTGGCAGCTGATTTTCTCCTAGCAGCGAATTGAAAAATTGGATGGTGGAATGCCTTTTTTTATAATACCAGCATACCTTTTGTATCGTCAAGTGAAAAATATTTGGTTACGCGTTGAAGATGAATCTCGCAAGATGATTGACGAATTTGAATTCGGCACAAACGTGCTTCAGGTTTCTCGCCATTTATTAGTTCCACTTTAGTTTACTTATGAGAAAAATTACCAATGTTCTGCAATATGGAAACGTCCAAAATTTCCTTTATAACTTAGGGCTTTGAGAGCCAACAAAAGTACGCATTAATTGTCTTTAACTTTTTTACCTCGTATAAGCAAATTAGGTGCACAACTTTGATTAATAAACTTGTTCTTAAATGTTACTTGCCACTCCAAATATAACACAATGGCCCGTATGAATAAAAGTAAGCCTGTCCTTCTGCTTAGAAGCGCTGCTAAGTCGCCCAGTGCGAAGGAGCACTTACGAGTATTTACTTTGAATTTTGCAAGTATAAGCATTTGCTTACTTTTATTCATACGGGCCAATGAATCGTTTTGCACCTTGGACCACAACGCTTTTTTAGAACCGGCAACACTGTAACGATTCGACTCTTACCCGCTTGAACACTCGCCGTTATCTTAAAGCGCTTTATTTTCTAAAATACTAGTTCTGTGCTATTTCCTTATGAAGCGGTACACGTATAAAATTTTCTATACCGGCAACTTTTGTAAAATCAAAAAATCTTTGAAGCCTAAACCGACCACCTGTTACTTAATTTATACCAGTCCTTAAATAGATTGGCTTATAACAGATAATTCTTATTTATCACTCACTTATTGTACCCAAATTTATAACATGTAGATTTACAATACATGAGTGGAAAACGAAAACGAAACACAATGGCCCATATGAATAAAAGGAAGCATAATACTGCAAAATTCAAAGTAAATACTTGTAAGTGCCCCTTCACACTGGGCTGCTCAGCAGCGCTGCACTGGGTTCCGTTGCTATATGCATATGCTCCCTTATGGCCGGTAACTAATCTCTATGGACTTGATAGCGCATCGATAGCGGCTGGTGGCGGCCCGATGTCTCTCTGGAGTTCTAGAATATTCGCTATAAGGAAAACTATATCGTTTGTGGTACTTTAAAGAAAGATCTCTTCGAAATGAATGGATTTCCATGTCTTTCATCATTTCCATTTTCGTTCAACTTTCCTATAGGCACAGATATCCGTTCTTTACGTATATCTGTCTATAGGTATCTTCTTATTTGTTAGTGTTGAATGGAGGAATCGTCATTGATTGAAAATTATATAAAAGTTAAGTCGCGCATATGCAAAATACTTTCATAAGAGCTACAGAGTTTTGAAGTCTTCTTCTTCTGCTCGCTCTCTTTTCGTCACCTGAACATATAATTTGAACTAGAAATTCAAAAGTAAAATTTTCCTTCATTGGGATCTTTTCAATATTCATATTTCTCAATCCATTCTTAAAATCCCAATACTTTTTCAACGAAAATTTTATTTTTGGATTTCTAGTTCAAATTCTATCTTCTGATGTTGACGAAAATTGTTGTTTTTTTTAAACCTTAACTCTCACTAGCTCAGGTGAATCATACATAAGTTGCAATTTGAATTTGACTAACTACACAGGATGCCCCACGACGAATATCGGCTATGCATATCTCGAAAAACGGACCTTGAAATATTGTAAAACTTTGACAATATTTTAATTTCGATTAGAGGAATTCCGCTAACATATTTTCGAGTTGGTGACACTTCTGGTTATACCGGAAGTTGAAGCACACTTGCCTATTTTAAATATAACACCCTATATATTATTTTATATTTTACCATATGTTATGATTCTACGTAAGATTTTATAATACGTTTCATGTAGGTATATTATCTAAATTTAGCCGTTTTTGACATATTTTAGTTTTTCTGTGAAAAATGCGATTTCAGCGGCGATACTTGAAATGTCATTGGATGCAATAGCATTTTCAAACTGAACTTGATCACGTTTTAGTCAATCACAAGAGTGCGGCGGCTTTTCTGCTTTATTGCCAGAGTGTCTTTTGTATGATTTCTCAGCTCCTCTTTTTCATTACCTGGCGAATTGAACATTTTCGCTATCGCCCCTGACTTTCGCTGCCTATTTCAGTGCTGCCTCACGACTAAATCATCGAATTTAGCTATTTAATAAATATACCATTTATTATGTTATTATATTATTTTACCAAGTGGCGTTTATAGGTACTACTAGGGAATGCAATCCCGCAGCAAAATCTCAATCCCGGTATTTCCGGGATCATTAGATGCTAATCCCGCGGGATCCCGCAAAATTTTAAATAAGTACTAAGCAATTTTGTGCGGTTAACATCTGTATTAAAATAAATCAATAATTATCACAAATTCAAAAAATAGTACCTTCATCCTAACTTAGAACTCAAAAAAACCTCACCTGTAATTTGCAAAGCACAAAAAAGGTGAACTTCTATTCCCACCTTGGTCGACAAATTCCTCAGTCCCGCAATTCCCGCGGGATCCCGCTCCGTTTATGTGCGGTATTAATCCCGCAAAAATGCTGCGGGATCCCGCGATCCCGGTATTGCATTCCCTAGTTTCTAGTCTATAACTTTTGATTGAGAAGTCTGATCGAAAAAGTACGAATTGTTTTGGATTCTACGCACCAAAATTAATAAGAAAAAGTGTTTTCCCGAGAAATTTTGGTGCAGTCGATTTTTGGTAAAAAAGGAAGGTTATACACTGCCTTTTTTTGAGCCCCGAAAAAAAAATTGTCTCAGATCGACCCGGAAAAAAAATTTTCTTATAGAATGTGGCCTGTAGAATCCATAATTTCAAACAGTTCCAAGATTGGGCTACTAGTTCAAAAGTTACAGCCCTTTGAATTTTCTTTCGAAATTGGTTTCTAGTCTATAACTTTTGATTGAGAAGTCTGATCGAAAAAGTACGAATTGTTTTGGATTCTACGCACCAAATTAATAAGAAAAAGTGTTTTCCCGAGAAATTTTGGTGTAGTCGATTTTTGGTAAAAAAGGAAGGTTATACACTGCCTTTTTTTGAGCCCCGAAAAAAAAATTGTCTCAGATCGACCCGGAAAAAAAATTTCTTATAGAATGTGGGCTGTAGAATCCACAATTTCAAACAGTTCCAAGATTGGGCTACTAGTTCAAAAGTTACAGCCCTTTGAATTTTTTTTCGAAATTGGTCTACAGAGAATATTCTAAAATAAATTATACTTTTGGCCATATCCTTCATAACGTCGACAGTTTGTTACCTACCTACAGTAACTTCGGTATTTCTTTACTTGTAATCACATAAAATAATTTTGCAAGTATAATGTCCTTCTTTTGCTGTTAGCATTTAAGCAATTTATATAGCATATTTAAGCGAAAACGGAAAAATAGCATGAATAAAATAACAGAACGTGTACTTAATTAATTATTCATATAACCGAATATTTGTTGTGGTATATTTATAATGTTTTGAGGTCAAAGAAAAGTTCTGAGTTCATTAGTTCGTCCACACAATAAGGGATGCTCTACATTCCACCTATACAGCCAACTATTATCCCAATTAGATTATTCATGGAATATGACCCCAATAGAAAACCTCTTGTATAAATATCGGCGTCCGAAAGACTGTATCTCAAAATTAATCAATTGTTGAATGTATAAAGGGCGCTTGCGTCAACACCCTCTTTTACAGTAGAGCGTTTCCCGACGTCGTCGCCTTTACGTTAGTTTTGTAGTAAAAGTATTGTAGTCATATTTTTATAAATTTACACGCTTTGTAAATACAAACATTGAAGGAAAGTTGCTTGAAAATGACTTGGGGATTTGTCACGTGTGGTCCAAATGAAGCATTAGTCATCTCGGGTAAGCGATGCCAAGGGTTGTAATTTTACGGTAAACGACTAACTCTAGGTTGCTGCTACGGCAAACCGCATCTCGTTCCAGGAGGAAGGGCTTTCATCTGGCCCATTATTCAAAGCATTCAAAGGTTTGTAATTCGACCCTTATCGCTCGGTACATTACCTACATCTTTTAGAATTTCGCTAAACACCATGACTTTACAAGTGGATAGTCCCACAGTGTATACAAGCCAAGGAGTGCCAATATCAGTAACAGGAATCGCACAGGTATGTAACTGAGGGGCGGTACGGGCGTAGATTAATTAAAGTGCCACAGGTGAAAATACAGGGGCAAAACGAGGAAATGCTTTTGGCTGCGTGCGAACAATTCTTGGGGAAAAAGGAAATTGAGATACAGCACATTGCTTTGGTAACGCTAGAGGGCCACCAACGGGCGATTATGGGATCCATGACCGTCGAGGAAATCTACAAGGACCGGAAGAAGTTCAGCAAGCAAGTTTTTGAAGTTGCGTCCTCCGATTTGGTTAACATGGGAATTACTGTAGTCTCTTACACCTTGAAGGATATCAGAGACGAGGAGGTGAGCGTTTTATACAATTTACTTTCGAGCATTGACAATTGTTTTCTTTTCTTGCATTAAAGGGTGCTAAGGTATGTGTACAAACTTTAGAATGCGCTATTGTGTTTATTTACTATGTATTAGGGTTACTTAAAAAGTTTGGGTATGGCTAGAACTGCGGAGGTGAAGCGAGACGCGCGTATTGGTGAAGCAGAGGCGCGCGCTGAGGCACAAATTAAAGAAGCGATAGCGGAAGAGCAGCGGATGGCTTCCGTTTTTCTAAACGACACGCAGGTAGCAAAGTCTCGGCGAGATTTCGAATTGAAAAAAGCCGCCTACGATGTTGAAGTGCAAACGAAAAAGGCCGAGGCGGAATTGGCGTACGATCTCCAGGCTGCCAAGACTAAGCAGAGGATCAAAGAGGAGCAAATGCAAATCAAGGTGGTAGAGCGCACGCAAGAAATCGCCGTACAGCAGCAGGAGATTGCAAGACGCGAGCGAGAACTGGAGGCTACCGTACGTCGACCGGCGGAAGCGGAAAGATTTCGCCTGGAGAAGTTGGCCGAAGCCAATCATAATAGGATTATCTTGGAGGCGGAGGCGGAAGCCGAGGCGGTTCGATTAAAAGGGGAGGCCGAAGCTTTTGCGATAGCTGCAAAGGCGAAAGCTGAAGCCGAGCAGATGGCCAAAAAGGCCGAGGCTTGGAAGGAGTATCGGGAGGCGGCGATGATTGATATGTTTTTGGATGTGTTACCGAAGGTGGCCGCAGAGGTCGCAGCACCTCTTTCGCAGGCGAAGAAAATCACCATGGTTTCTAGTGGTCACGGTGAAATAGGCGCCGCGAAACTAACATCGGAAGTATTGAGTATCGTCACAAAAGTGCCGGATCTAGTAAAAACTATGACCGGCGTTGACATCGTTAAGGTAATCGAGGACATCATTACACAATTTCACTAATGATCTTTTTTCAGTCCGTTCACGCTATCTAAAACGACCATAATGCTTTTCCATTGATCTACGCGGTGTGTCTCTGTAATAATTAATATCCTAGCTTTGTATTAATGTAACTGTCCTCCTTTATGACGTTCAATGATCCAGTTAGAGATACCTGCCCTTAAAGATGGTATCGTTTGTTGCACATGAAATTAGATTATATATTGTATAACATCCAATGGTAAATATCTAGCCTTAAAGTATACTTAAGTATACCTTAATTATATTTTCTATGGAAATGTTGATGAATAACCTTAACAGAAATATATGGTTTCTAACGCCGACCATTTTTCTATAACGTAATATTTCGGATACCTATTTGATTATTGATTTTCAATTAGTCCATTAAAAAGGGTTGCTTGGAAACAAATAGCTAGGACTGAGACTGATGTTTTATGTCAACATATTTGGCCATAGTTGCAGAGACACTAGCAGACCCCGCGAACTTCGTACCGCCTTTGGGAAATGTTTCTTTTTTGGGTGGAACATAGGCTTTGTTCCGGCGGCGCACGTTGCGCCGCCTCACCTCGCATACTCAGCGAACTAATCACCTACTAGCGGTACCTATGAAATATACTTCACGACCTATTCTGATACCTATCAAATATTTTAAAAAATTCCATAAAAATCGGTTCAGCCGGTTCGGAGGAGGGCGATCACTAACATAAAAACACCTAGGTAATCATACCAGTTTGTATTATACTATGATACCAGAAATTAAAATTTTTAAATTTATTACAGATTATATAAAGCGCAGGCAAATACAAGAAGGAATAGGTGGAAATATCGTGAAAACTTTAAAATATTTAACTAAAATTACTCTAATTATAATAATAAAGGAGATGCAAATCGTAGAAAAAGTTATAATATATACAAAAAACATTTTATTATTCCTATATGGTTCTACAGACTAAATATCAAAAGAAATAAATTAAACAAATATAGGAAACGAGCTCCTGGGTATGGCTATAGCATGTGCGAAACCAAATTTTAAACCTGATGTTAAATTTTCTTTTATTCAAAGTGATTATGTACCAAATTTCATTTAAATCCCCCTATAAATCAGAAAGTTATCACTGCGTATGCGCAAAACCAAATTGGCGTTAAATTTACTTTTATTCCAAGTGGCTAAGTATCAAATTTTATTTAAATCCCTCCATAAATAAGAAAGTTGGCACTGCGCATGCGCAAAACCAAATTTTGAAACTGACGTTAAATTTGCTTTTATTCCAAGTGGTTATGTACCAAATTTCATTTAAATCCTTCTATAAATCAGAAAGTTGGCACTGCGCATGCGCAAAACGAAATTTTGAAACTGGCGTAAAATTTGGTTTTATTCCAAGTGCCTATGTATCAAATTTTATTTAATTGCCTCCATAAATAAGGAAGTTGGCACTGCGCATGCGCAAAACCAAATTTTGAAACTGGGGTTAAATTTACTTTTATTCCAAGTGGCTATGTATCCAATTTCATTTAAATACCTTCATAAATAAGAAAGTTTGCAATTCGGTCTGTAAATGGTCGAGATGCGCAAAGGGCACTGTGAATGCTGATCGATTAGGTTCAACTTTTGGAATTGTTTTATATGGCTAAAGCTATGCTATATTGAATTTCATGCAATTCGGTTCATAACTAACAGAGATGTCAAAAGGGCCTACTTTATTTTTTGGGCTACATTGCCAATTCACGAACTCCGATCTACAAATTTGATAAAGAAACCACCTGCAAAATTTCATCGTAATCGGTTCATTCGTTTATGAGTTATCGTGCTAACGGACGGACGGACAGACACAACAAAATTATAAAGTCGCTAGGAGCTCGTTAATAAATCGGTCTGTGGTTGGTACCATTGAATTTCTATCGTCGAGTCCTTTCATTGAAGTACCATGAATGTTAAAAGTTCTCCCCCCCTAACTCCGCCATTTTGATAAGAGGTAAAGAAGAAGAGCGGTAGTTGGTAGAACACAGTTGCTTTCGTTGATACTTTTAGTTAGAATACCATGAAAAATAAAATCAATTTCTAACAAACCCCCTCACCCATTTTGAAAAGGAGTCGCGAAAGATAACTATAGTTTATATAAACCTACATTAGAATACCAAAATGTTTTTAAGTGTTATCCCCCCCCCTTCAAATATTTTATTGGGCACAACCAGAATCATACGTATGAAATATTTGAGGCAAATTGGTTGTCGCATGTCAAATTATGCAAGTTTTAGTTCCAGCGGCTTAGGAAATAATTTATGGAGGAGCCGCCCCCCTTTAAGACAACACAATTTGAAGGCCGTCTGGTAGGCTACCTATTGCAAAAAATTTCATGCCTCTAGCACAATTCAATACAATATTTTATGTATATTTTAATCTAAAAAGATAGCATATTAAATTCTCTTTTCCAAAATGTAATTAAACAAATTCAAAAAATTACTATTAATTAAATTTTAAAAAAATTAAAAAAATTCAAGAATTGTTTTGTATTGAATTATTTTTTTTTACTTTTTTTACATCTTTTTTCAAATGTTTGAATCTCTTGAATTTTGAAATGCCTTGAATTTGAAAATGAGATTAGGTACGAAAACTTTTTTATCTGACCCTTGTTTTAAAAACGTCAATTATTATATAATGATTAAAGAAACATTTGTAATAAACATTTTTCTGGCGCTATGGCAATGGGCCGCAGGAGTTTAGGATGCAGACATTAGGACGCGGACATTAGACCGCAAGACAGTAGACCGCAGACATTAGGCCGCGGACATTAGGACGCAGGCATAACCGCAGACATTAGGCCGCGGACATTAGGACGCAGGCATAAGGACGCAGACACTGGGACGCGGACATTAGGACGCAGACTGGTCCCTCCCGAGTCCGGAGACGGAACGTCGCGCGCGCCGCTCTGCGTCTTCCCCTCCCTTCGCGACACTAACGCGGACCCCTCCTGAAACTCGAAAAAGAAGGGGGGGCCGTAACCCAAACGCGTCGCCACTCGACGGGAGGCCGGGCCGTGGGCCCCCGGCCGCTCGCGATTTTCGAGAAAAACGCGAATTTGATGGCTCCTTGCTTTATTTTAAGTACAAGGGATGAAACTACGTACCTGCGTCCTAATGCTAATGTCCGCGCCCCAATGTCTGCATACTTTTGCATATTTTGATGCATATTTATTGCTGATGCTGCTAATTCACATGAAATATGGAAAATATATCACTGGACGAATTGGAATGCGTAAAAAAAGAAAAATATGTAAAAATAAATAATAATATATTTATACAATATTTACAAAAAATCCAAACACCTAAAATAAGTTGGCTTATGATTCAGTCTTAATCCTAGTTTCAACGCTACGTGTCATGTGATGTCTAGTTTTCTAGTCTTACAAATTGAAACCTTACCCCCGGAAGACCGCCCTTAGGAGCAAATAATTGAAACGCGCCGTCGTCACTGTCTCTTTCTCTCTCAAACCTTTCCCAGGAGGTCATGCACGTACATCTTTTTCTTGTAACCCCGCTTTAAAAACAGACGGATTAGTAAACATAATAAAAAGAAACAAACCACGTAAAGTATGAAACACGTACTGGGATCCACGTTTTTCAGAAAGAACGTCGTCGAATCGTTAGTGGAAGATCCTTCCAAGCCCAAATGCAGAATTCTGGTATCCGATCCGATGTAGCGGACGTTAATGCTGCTGTAGACTTGCTTCATGTATCCGACGACGTCTTGCAAATTCCAGGTGTTGTTCGTCCTACACGCCGGGCACCGTCCTGGAAGAGGGAATTGTACCTTGGGAAACTCCGGATCTTCGGTCGTATCGCCCGCCAGACGCTTGTTAACTTCGTTATGGGCCATCCACAGCCACAAAATGGAGGTGTCAAGGGAACTCACGCCTTTCATGTCTTTTTTTAGGGCCATCTCCTGAAAGTGGCGACTGCACTCGCTGCACCCAAAGAAGTTCTTTATGTACCCGTGCATCGCGTCCAAAACCTCTCGCGGATGATGCTCCGAGTTATCCCAGTTGTGTTCGGCGGCACTTACGGTGAGATAATGGAATAACTTCCACAATCCGCACGGGTATCCGCGGTAATTCTTCGCACTCCCTTGACAACCCAACCACTGGGCGGGAGAAGAGAAGACCCGGCGATCTTCGGGTTCGGCGTCGCGAAGCCACGCGCTGACATCCGAACCTTGGAGAACCTCGCCGGCCTCCAATATCTTGCGTTTTAATTCGTGCAGAAACTGTTTTCCGGCAATTCCGAACGGGAAATACTTTGCCAGAATCGAGACGTAATCCACCAAGGCTGTGAGGCGCTCGCCCGAGATGGTCTTCACGGAACCCACTTCAAGCTTGAACGAGTATCTGAGAGCCGTCTCTAGGTCGGCTTGAAACACTACGTCCCCCATTTGCTTTATTCTTTGTCTGAGATTCTCCTTTTCGCGCGCCTCCATCAATTCGGACATATCGGGTACTTTGGCGTTGATCCACTTTCCGGTAAAAAGCTCACCCTTGAGAGTTACGTTAGGGATGGAAATGTGCATGGAAGACAGATACTCTTTGATGGTATTTCGCGCGATGTCTGTCGACGGTAACGCCTCTTGCAGTACTTTTACGTTATTTTTCTCGTCTACAATGAGAAGAGCTGGTAGAAGCTTGACTCCAGTCGCTGCGAGCAGTTCCGAATTGTTTCCGGCGCTTTTCACTATGACATTGGGAACGTGTCGCAAGTCCATGGCGAGTTCTGCTCCTATAACGGAATGTGCAGTATCAATTATCACAAATGCGTACTTGGTTTGTCTTGGAACGGAGTGGCGAAGACTGCTAACGTCGCGCGCGGAAATTGGAAGAAGAGAAGGAAATTGCGTACCCCTCCGCTCGGTTTGCTCTTGAATTATGCGCTGTATCAAGTGTCTTTTTTGGCTGTAAACGTCGTCGCCCTTCTCCACTTCCACCCCTATATTTTGCGCTCCCTCCTTGTAATTTTCGTGAAAGTACCGCAGAGTCGGATAGGCCATAATTTCGAAATCTCGGCACAGTTGCGAGTTATCTTCGTCGTTGCAGTCGATGGCCGCAATAACGACGACATCCTTCCACTGTTTCAGACTGGCCGCGAGAGCTTTCCACGAGGGTGCAAATCGCTGACAGTGACCACACCAACTGTTGTAAAATTCGACGAGAGAAGAGTGCGACGCATTGTAAATTTCGTTTTTAAAATTAAACGCGGTTAAAATTGTCACTTCGTCTTCCGTCGAGTACAATCCTTGACCTTCGATCAGATGTTTGTATTTTTTCAAATCCTTATTGGTTAGCGTCGCGTTTTCTGAAAGATCAATACCGTTTGTTAGAATTACTACCAACGAGGATATCCACAGTATATTCCCGCTTAACATTTTGTATGTACGTCACTCAACTTCACACCGACAACAAATAACAAAACAAAATCAACAGATGAGATGTAAGGTTAGTTTCCCCATTTATACGGTACGCGACCATATGGTGAACCAATTCGTTTTATCACTAACGTGTATATTGAATAAATTTCCTTCGATAAACCTTCATGCGGGGCAACATGTTATCAAGTAATTATTAACCGTAATCGCTCTGGAAAAGCAACGTCCCTACTGCCATGATTTCATCACTCCACTATCCTTCTCTTGCACGCACAAACCGCAGATACGACACGTGTCCCGCGGTTCGCGAGCGTTTGAAAATGCGCGGGTACCGTTAGCTTTTGCGAAAGTATATTCCGCCTACAATTTAGGTATAATTAAAGTTTAATTAAAAAATGAGGTAGACGTGACCTTGTCACACTGAAAGGCATAGTTAACTGTACGCAAATCGAGGACAAAGAAACTGAATAAATCTGACCCAATTAAAGGTTATAATAAGATACCTAATATCATTGTTTATTGCATATTCGCTGATAACAATGTCCCGAAGATATTGACTGGAAGGTCAAGGATGAAAAGGCAACAGAAAAACAACTATAGAGAGGTTCCTACAAGTACGGGCGAAAAGGGCAGCCCTTCAAGCATTTTGAACCTATGAATGGAACATAATTCAACGATAATTGTTTATTCATACGAATAGCAGTTTTTGGCTGATCTTTTACCCAAAATCGTCGTGAAACTTTCATTTTAATGCCTTCTTTATGTGAGGAAATTTTGGGCAGACCCGACTACTTTTCCTGCCGCCTGTCACTTTCCAGCCGCACCTGTCACATTACTCCTGTCATCACTGACAGATTGACATTAATCAAAAGTTCTATATGCAAATTGAAATTTTATATTAAAAAATACGATTTTCGGTCAAATTTAATACAGAACTCGTCAGTAAAATAACACTACACTACTTGATTCGGAAATTAAAGTATAGGGGCCTCGTATTTCAATATTCGCTAGTAATGTGTCATTTTCCAGGCTTCTACCTGAAACCGTCCAGAAAATCTAAATTTCAGGGTTATTTTGACATTAGAAAGTTGATCTTTACCTGACTATAATAGTACTGTAATATTTTTGCCTGACTCCCATTACAGTCCTAGTACATGCAAAATAACAATTACATCGTTCATTGAATAAGTTATTCAATCAAAGATTGGATAATTATAATGCAGACTATGTGGATATTTTTAAATATTAATATACCTACACAAAGGATAATAGTTTTTTAATTACTAACAATTAATGGAATATGTGTGGAAGTAATTATTCCTTTAGTTTTGCGCCAGTCATTAAAAGGTTTGTACGCCTTTTCGTACCATCTTTCTTGACTTGTGGGGAGCGAATATTGCACTACGGCTACGGCGGCCGCAGCTTCGGCTACATTATAAGAACGTCTCGCGTATGTACTCTTCTTCACTGATACCTGCTTTTGTACCTAGTTATAAAGACTGTATGGTTGAAAAGTACAAAGCATAAACTGCAAAATGCATTAAAAATGACACTGATTGTTTTAATTAAGTTGAAATCTCTATGGAAACAATTAAATAAAGTGATTTTAGCATGCGTGATCCACCTGACTTGGAGGCATTAAAGAGATACTCGGACGCTGCGCGTCCTCGTACTTTTCAATAAGCCTCCGCGTCATGTAAACGACCACTTTCATGACTTATTATGTAAATAACTATTATATGACAACTATTTCATGCCATGCCTACTTTTATGACAGGAAATGTTAATTTTTGATGACAACGGCAGACCAGAGATTACTTTCTTGCCGGCTGTCACTTTACCGGTAGCACCTGTCACTTTACCGACTTGTCACACTGGTAATGTCTATAATGACTTCTGTCATCACTGGCAGATTGAGATTAATCAAAAGTTTTATATGAAAATTGAAATCTTCTATTAAAAAATACGATTTCGGATAAAATTTAATACAAAACTCGTCAGTAAAATGACACTATTTGACTCGCAAATTAATGTACTCGGCCCCCAAAGAGTCCTCGTACTTCATCTATGTCATTTTCCTGACTTTTATGTAAATGTAACTATATTAACTATATATTACCATTGTTGATTCATGAATTATTGTGGTTTATTTGTGTTCTTATTTTACACTTTTTAACTTGTACGCGGTTACAGCAGTTCCATTACAGACCTCACATAAATGAATGTAAGTACATTTTGATTTAAAAGAAAAATTAGAAACGGAGAAGGACTATACCTTTATAGTTTATGTGCATTTGAAAGGTAGACCTTCTAAAAAAGGGAACAAAAAGATCTGATGTAATTATACTACGAAAATTACAGCACTCACAATAGACGAGAAGTTACGTGAAAATGAAGTTGTATAAAAATCATTTTTAACGAAGGGAGGCTATATACTTAAATGTGCATTTACATAATTGGCTTGTGGAGGGCTCTCTGTAAACAAAATCAGACTAAAAATATTTAAAATACCACAACAATTACAGCCCTTACAACTGATTGCTGATTAAATAACAATAACCAAGTATATATCGGTACCTATAAAAATAAAACAAGACAATAAAAAATTGTTTGAGATAGAAATTTGCCCCCCCCCTCCTCCAATATTCGAAAAAATAATCAAAATCGCACGTACTTATACCTACTTATAGTAAAAATGCAATGTATGCCGCCCCATGGACCATATCTGTTTAGTAGGTATCAACAGTCAACACATCATATGCCTATGTAAAATGTACCTATACACCAAGGTACTAATCTTGCCTATACACAGTGGTGTATTTGTATTGGTCAATTACGGTAAGGGTATATACGCAGGTGTCCGTTTAACCGGAGGAGGGGGATTGTATGGAATGAGCACCTATCAGATGGGGGGGGGGCTGTGAGGGGTTTAAAAATCCTCAATTTTTATAATTTTTAGAAAAAAGGGTTTTAATCGATGTTTTGCCACCAAGATGATGATTGAAGGGTGTGGTGCTAGAAACTGCCTGGGAACTCTTGCAGTATCCTTAGTATTTTCAAAACTGGCTCTAGTTATAGGTATCAGCAAAACTAGCACGTTCTAAAGTAAAGAATTATCAGTAGGTACACGATTTCAGCAATATTTTAAACTTTTAAAAGTTACTTATACGACCGACCGTATATTTGCGTATTTAGCAAATTGTCATTTCTAGAATATCATATAAAAATAATATAATAATAAAATTTAGTTATACGCTAACTAAATTTTACTTTTAAACATATACGACGTATACTCGCGTATACCCTCCAATACAGCACTGCCTATATACATATAGGTAGTAGTGTACATAGTACATACACTAGTACTAGTAGTCAACACTTTCACTTAATATACACTAAATATAGCGCTGCCCCCCTCCCCCAACGTTAAGGCGCTATGGCGTCCTGTGAGTTTCAGGTTAAAATGAGTATTCGAAGTTATCCGATGAGACACATAGATATATCAATATATACCAAAAAAGCAATAAACCATTATAATTCTTAGATATTTTTGTGGTTGTATCATGGACCTCTTTATATAGAAGACAGCGGTTTTTGGTGCCGTACTGCCTAATATATCTCGAAACGTAGCACTGATTTATATATACCTACTATAAAAACCATACATCTGTAAAAAATGCTATTTTGCTATTTTCAATATGTGATAAGAAAAGGTTTGTGATTCTTATATAAAAAGACTATTCTTAGGTAAAGTGAGTTGCTGTTTTACCATTACCTAGGTACAATAAATAAAACAAAAATATATATTCAATGTTTCCCTTCACAATGAAATTTCCCTTTTTCGACACAGTCCAAAATGGCTTGGCTACACCAGTATACTCGTACCACCGACCATGACTTGCCTTGGGAACCGCTGGTATAGAAGATAATGAAGAATAGGTATTTAACGCTTTCCATACTACTCGGCTGCTATAAGGATCGTTTATAAGCCACAAAAGTGTAAAATTATGGAACGTAAAAAACGGTTTATTGGTTTTTTACAATAACTTTTTTAGTAATAAACGCAGAAAAAATTCCTTCCTTGGTGCAAGCCTCGGCACCATAACGAACCAAATAGCGAAAAAAGTAGAAAAATAGCTCTTAAGATAAAGAACTAGTGGCGTCTCATAGAACGAGCGGACGGACGGACAAAGTGGCCACAATAGCGCATTTTTTTTGTGGAAATGCGCTAAAAAGGTCTTTCAGGTAGGATAGGATTAACGCAGTGCTGTATTGGAGGGTATATACGCGGATACGTTTAAAAGTAGTTTTTCTTTTGTTTATATGGAAATGACATTTCGTTAAATACGCAAATATACGGTCGTACCTATATTCTTTAGGTCGATTACTTTAGACGTGTTTTTACTGTTACGGTAGCTTCTGGCGTCTATGGAGTTCTCAGGCGGTTTCTAGCATCCCACTCCCCAGTATAACACCTTTGTGGCTCTTGCCACATCGATAGTGCACGCGAATTCCTTTGGGCTTTGTTCAAGTAATGAATAAACAACGCTTTGGGAAATATTACAAAAGTTTAAAATCATTCTTAAGAAGTAGTGTATAGTTTCGAAACAGACACCTGCGTATGTGTGTATTGGTAACTTGTGTTAAGGGCAGGCGTCGGTTTAACCGGGGGTTATGGAATGAGCACCTTTTTCATATTTGCGTTGTTCGTACAGATATAAAGACAAGTTAAAAAGTCCTTATACAACTGCTTTCGTAAATATTAAAGTTGTCATTGCGCATGCGCAAAACCAAATTTTAAGACCGATGTTAGATTTGCTTGTATACCAAGTGCCTATGTGTTAAATTTCATTTAAATGCTTCAGTAAATAAGTTGGCATTGCGCATGCGCAAAACCCTGAAACTCACATACCCAGGCGATGTCCTTAACCATATTTTAGTTATAATTAGCAGTCCATGTACTATATGGTCTAAGGTTAAACCACATCACACAACGTACGTCACAGATATAACCTCAAACACGGCTACCCAGAGAAAGCAGTTGCCGAAATACGCTGCTGCAGCGCTAGTTGAGCGAGTCGTTCACCAGACATTTTAGGTCGTCTGGTGAACGGGCCCATTCAATTTCTACATATGTTTGGGCTCATTTGAAACTGTTGACAGTCCTAGTGCCTTGTGTGCTTTTGTACTATTCTTGTCAAATGCAACATTGCTTAGCATTGAACTGTAGAAAAAAATTGTAAGTTCTCATCTGGTTAATTATGTAATGCATAAACCAGGAATACACAAACATAACAAATTTATTAATAAGTTGAAAAAGAGAGAATAGTTATATAATAAATTAGTGTTTCATATTATGTACAAATTTACTTAACTAGGGGAATATATACAATCTTCCAAGTATAATAAATATAAAACAGGTATATACAAAAACCCCACGTCTGTAATAAACTCCTATTATAGTTAGTAAGATAACACGCACACGCATTCGATTCTCCACTACGATTCTAAATTTTGTTGTCTAGCGAGATATGCTAATCTTCTATTTCTAATTTCATCAGGATCACAGGGACTCGATGGTGTCGAGGGCGTTCGCGACTTACACTCTAGGCTCATTTGTATCGCCTTGCGCAGTTGGGCTTCCTCGTCGTCCTCTTGCTCAGTCGGGGGAGTCTCACAAAGACTGAATTGCAGAGCCTTTTCTAATTCGTCCGAGTCATCGTTTAAACTCAACTTGATGGCATTTTGAAGGTCCTGGTCGTACTCATCCGTAACTGTTTGCACAGGGATCACTCTTCGATTGATCGATTGGACCGGTCGCATTCTTAATACTTGATCGGCATCACAGTCGGGTAATTGTCCGAAAACAACGAATATTGAGTAACCGTCATTTCTTAACTGAGCCAGAATTAGCGATAAATGCGTATTCGAAATTAATTCGGGCATCGGAAGTAGAGAATTTAAATTAAACCACTGATCGCCAATCCGTCGAATTGTAAACCAGTGATCTTTGTGATTACATATGAAGGCTTGCATTGTTGTTGGATCTGTTTGTACTCTTGAATCTGTACTCAAATAAGGCACGAGTTCTAGTCCCCACACCTCTAAAGCACTACTAATTACTTGAATAGAAAAATAACCGCTATCGTCCATGTTGCCCGACGCCTGCTGAAGAAATCTTTGATACTCTTCACTTTCTTCGCCACACTCCGCCATACATATCCGTTCCTCTTCATCCAGCCGCTGTGCCAGTGTGCTCAGATCCACAGGTGTGAAATAGGCTCCTTGAAGAAGCGCGTTTAGACAATGTTGTGCGCAAAGTGAACCCTCTTGCTGCAAGCAATCGAGAAAATCAAATTAAAAAGTAACGCCACATAAATATGTATTCAACTTATTCAATTATGTCAAAATAGCGATTTATAATTAAATCCATGTAGGTGAGTGAGCAAATTGGAGGCCAATTACATAGCTGAAATAGTGTCGTAAATCAGTTTGGTTTGTCAGTCAATTAAAAATTATTAGTTTTTAATCAAGTAACACTTTAATGGTTTTAATTACACAACATGTGCCAAAATAGTTCTAATTTGGTACCGTTAAAACAGTGTTAAATTCATCTTTAACGTAGATAAAATGTTATCCAATTGTTGAAAGTTAAGTACCTACTTACAACCAGGGTCTAAAAATTGGCAAATCCGTACATAGGGATTTCCACCCTCTAATAAGGTTCCAAAGCAAGAAGAAAAAAAGATGTTCAAGCATGGTCAACCACAGATGAACTCTTACTTTTCATAGATGCCTATAAAAAGCGTTTTTAGTAGACCAAAACTTCACATGTAAAAAACATAATCACTTGATGGCATATAGTACGCATAATTGCCCGGAGGATATTGTTGTATCTGTGTAAGAATATTGCGTCTATTACCCCATTGAATACACTGCTGTTCATTTAGAAGTAGGCATAGGCATTCTCGTGTATTGTTTTTCCTAATGTCTCTACTTTTAAAAGACAAAATCTCTTCTGAAGAACGTCTAATTTTATGCAACCAAAATAACTAATGCACATGCATTCTGTACTGCCATTGTGGATTTTACAATTATTGCATTTACATTCCAAACGCTTAATGCAAACATATATTTCTGTCAATAGCCTAGCTTTTTAGATAGGTTGACTGGTAGGTAGGTACTTCTGAAAGCAACAGTAAAGAGTAGTATGGTGTTAAGTTATGATGAAGAGATATTTCTATTTCCCTTAAGTTTCTTATGGGATTCTCTTCCACAAAAATTAAAACGTTCAGTTTCACATCCTTCGTTAAAACTCAGGGTGGCTTATTGTACATCGCATTTAAACAACCACTAAGTTTAAAGTGATTAACAATTTTTCTTTTTGTCTGAACACAAGACGCCTTTGTACATATTTCACAGAAAATAACGCTTCTTAACCTGTTACCGGCACTATCAATTTTTTCTTCAGGTGAACGAATGAAAATTCAAATATAGAAGCCAAAGCAATAACATTCAAATTAATTATTATGACATTATCTTCATTCTTGTTTTAAGAAGTTATTTTGGTTGCATAAAATTAGGCACCCTTCAGAAGAGATTTTGTCATTTGAAAAGGGAAAATAATGCACGCAAATCCCTATGTCTACTTCTAAATGAATATCACTGTATATAATTTATCTGCATTATTTTTGCATATGGAATTATCTGCAAGCATTATTTGTATTAAAAACGTCTGTAGATAATACACTATTTTTTTTAATTTTTGGTCATTATTTCTGAGTGGGTGGAGTTTCAGCCAAGGCTGCTCTATTAACCGAACCCACATACCTTTACAAATATCCATGCCCGAATCCGGATTCAAACCAAGGATCCCTAGTACTGCAGTCGAGCTTCAATGCAACAGAGTACACTTGGTAGATTATCCACATACGCGTTTACTGAATACCTACGTCACAGGTATACGCAAACAACAGATGCTAACCTTACGCATTTCATGGGTAACACATTTAGGTATACTCAAAAGCGCCCTCTCTTGAGCAGCTGAATAAACATGTACCGTTTGTAACTGTAAAATAACGCTTATAGATTTATGCATTAAATAGATTGTCGCTGCAATTTAAAGCGAATAATTGTGCAATTAAACAATGATACCTCAAATTACCTCCTATCATATCATATCACTGCAATAATACCAATAAATAAGGAATTCGAATTGTGCAAACTTTAGCGCTTTACATTTTTTCTTATGTCTCACGGACTTGAAGATGTGGCGGCTTGGCTTAAGTACCTGGACCAAGAGGAGTCAAGCTCATTAAGAAACCCTAAGCCCAAGATGAAACAGCTTACGCTAATGGGAAGTCTTAGGAGGTGAATGCAGTGTTAATACCACAAGGGTCACGATGATGAGTCGAGCTGTTGAGGCGTATAGCCCCATCAGCTTCAGCTCGTTCCTGTTAGAGGTGCCTGTAACCGCGTTTGCAGATAACCCCTCTACAGCGATCGGCTGGACTAAGTTCCATGTTGAGGAGCCCGAAGATAACGGCAAGGAGTTAGTCACAGTGATGACTAAAAGAGGGTGCCCTCAAAAGTAGGTACTATCGCCCTTCAATGGTGGCGCTATGGCATTGGGCAGCACGACATTAGGACGCGGAGATGCACCATGCTAACACAAAAAGGATCTATATGCAAGGGTATGCAGACGACCTGACCATAGTAATATCTAGTAAATATGATAGTGGTAACTGCAAAACTTTATATATCCTACAGTGTGTGCACCAGTGAGTGGATAGTGCCGGATTATTGGGTGGGTCAGCTGAGTCGCTAACCGTAAGACTACTAGGTGTGCCAGACTGTCTAGCGCCGTATTACAGAGTGCCTACTATAATTATACCGGACGATTCAAATGAACTGAAGGCAGTTTGAATTTCCCGCAAAACTTTTATTTATAATGTTGGTAACATATCAAATGTCATTTATTTAAAAGCAGTGGTGGATCAATTTAATGAATCACTAAACAATAATCACAATTAATTAATTAAAGAAAATTAATTTATTAAGCACAGTTTTTAACTCTCCGGTTCATAATTTCAAATATTCATTCTAACATTGTCCGGGGGATAGCCATGTTAACTAACCGAACACCACCTATGCTTCCTCAATGAAACCTTATATGAAAACTTTCCAATACCTTCGTGCGAAGTTTTGTGTCACTAATGATCGAAAACCTGTAGATAATAATAACAAATAGAGATGTTATCGGTCACAATGTTGTACCCACCAGGTTGATTAGATAATTTGCAAATTGATGCAACATTCTCTTTCATTGAATTGCAGTAAACACAACCAAGTGGAATATGAGCATCTTCTAAACGTATGTGCCTTTAGAATCAAAGGAATCAAAAGCCATCCCCTTTAAAACCTAAAAAAAAATAAGGTTACATGATCCTTATAAAGTATTTTCTCTATGTACCTACCTTTCAAAAATGTGGCAGATGCAAAGACCTTTAAAAAGAACTGTTTGCTTTAAAACGCATGGCTCGCCGTACGTAGATAACAAAATTAAAATTCGCATAAAACGCTGCCAATGGATGGCGATTACTGCATAAATAAACTACTTTCTAAACATGTTTGTCAATGCCTTAAGCAAAAAACACTAAATATTTTAAGCGCCAAATTTAAACTGTCCTAAGCTATTGTGGATCACTTGGTTTATCACATTTTTCAAAATTTTGAAATGACATGTTTCTACCGCCAGCCATTTTTATTGATTGGTATCGACTGCGGAAGTTATCATGGATACAATAAAAACTACCTTTTTAAAAACAGTACAAAATAAGGATTTCATTGATTTTCATGGCTAAGATTTTAAAAAATATATTGGTTTTGTGCATTTTTACCTTTTTTCTATCTTACATGGGTAGTAAGACATAACATCACAAATAGTCAAACTTTTCGTTCTCACCCTGTATCTCAGAAACCGGCGCGTGTGACGCAGTTCAGTTGAAGCTGGACAGCGGTGGTAAGGGTCACTGGTTCGAATCAATGAATAAATGTATCGTGGGTTTGGTTGGTAGAGCAGCCTTGGCTGAAACCCCGCCCACTCAAAAGAAAAGGCAGAAACAAATAAAGAAATAAAAATAAAGATAGAATGATTCTGCTTGTTGTAGGTATTAAAATTTTCACAAAAGGGTGGCGAAAACCGCCGCAAGTTTCTATCTTTAAAAACAACTGACATACACTGGACACACTACAATCTCAACCATACTTTGTATCATAAAAGGAGCATGATTGAAAAACTAAAGAATAAACAGTTTTTTTAACCAAGAAACTAGGAGGTAATGTAATGTTTGGGATTTTTCGAGAAATACCTTGGGTGAAATTAGATAAGGAGAAAGAAAAAGTAAAACGAGAACGTAAAAAGTTTAGAAAAAAGATTAGGGGTGATAGGATTTTTTTCTCATGCATAGGTGGTTAACGTTATGATGCGAAATTTTGATTTTGACTAGGGAATGTGTGATCGTGTCCGAATATCAAACGCAAATTCTGGAGAATGGGGGAAATTAATGGTAAATTGAACAAAAAAAAAAGTATAATTCCAATGATCTGTTTGGTATGCAAAGGGATGTGTATATGAAATTTAGTGTTGTTGCTCAATTTAAGGGGGAATAATGTTATGCAAACAATTTCAATGTGGAGGTTGATGTTTGGTCAAGACGCCTGAATTAATAACGGGTCACTAACTGATAGTTAAATTTTTCTCTCTAATTATTTAATTACTCTGGTAGGGTTTTACGTTTAAAAACAAAATGATTATTGCGTTTCTAGTTGTATCCAAGTAGTTTGTTGTTCTTTGTAAAAGATTAATTCCTAGAATTGTTAGATGTAGGACAATTTATCGTTTATTTTGTTATCAATTTTACTTTGTTAAGTCATGTAAACGATAGTTTTTATTACTTTTGTTAAAAGGTTGACGTAATTCATTAGGGATAAGAATGCGTTTTAATGCGCAAAAACTGCGTGTTGTTATCCAAGATCAAAGAATTCAGTGTCAAAATTTGGATACGTAACATAAGAAGGGCCGAGAAACGAATGCGGGATTGGCTGTTGTGTTGCTAAGTGTCCGATAATTGGAGGAAGATTTTCGAATTTTGGAAAAGTGAGAGCCCTACTGAGGTATTCTGTACTACTTATTATAGATGACAAATTATGAGAGAGTAAAATTTACACAGGTGTCTAGCGTAGTGTGTACTTCTGTAGTATGATCTTTGTTTCATATAAATAAATCAAGTATAACTGTTTAAATTTTTAAAATGTTAACCCTTTTTGACCACTTTACAACCGCCGTGCCTTCTACGAAATTGCTGCCAGACGCTCAGATATGTTACTAACATTTACATAACTATCTTATATCCAAATATGTATCAACAATAATAATTAAACTATTTCAAGAAATGTGCCACTAGCTCTCCTACTAATGGGCATCAAAAATGAGTGGCGGTTGAGTCTCCTTTGGAAGTTCAAGTTAAGTACAATTTCACCTGTAAACAAAAATTCCAAAGGTGACGCGACAGCAACTCATTTTTGATCGCTCGTTATCCCTTTGTTCTGTATTTTAAAAAACGGTGTGACTAGCCTCCCGGCTCCGGTATTCATACGAATCCCGGTTGTACTATGACATCACCAGCGACAACCGGGATTATTATAAATCCCGGCTGACAACTTGGCGCGATGTTTGTGATTGTTTACACGTGGGTTTTACGTGCAGTACGATCCAGTACTTAAACCGTTGTTGTGATATATTCAAAATTGGAAAAAAGTTCCATAGCTATTCGGAAGTGGAAAGTTTCCTGAAAGCTTATGAGGAACTAACCTTCAAAAAAAATTCTGGAAACGTAATAATAATAAATTATAATAAATATATATTCATCCTGTAAGACAAACAAAGTGTATAGGACAAGTCAATTAAACACAAAAGACAAACATTTGAAATTTAAGTAACATTTAACTTATGAAATCTTCCACAGAATAAAATAAATTCACGTCTTATTGCTTCTTCACGCATATCACGGCCAACTAGAGAAGCATTGAAATATGTAGAGCTAAAATTTTGCTGTATTTATGGAGGCCTTAAATTCAGACCGTCCGGTAGTTGGCAAAGAGATACAAAGACTTTTAAGAAAGAACAATTACGCCCTGCGCACGTGGCGTTACGAGTTACCACAGACGGAAGAGATCTGGAAATGAGAAGCGTTTCGGAAAGCTACAACCATGACAGAAGTATGGTACAGTTTCAAAACCTACCCCATCAAAAAAAATTGAGTAGTAAAGACAAAGAGAATGTGGAAGAACTGAACAATAATAATTAATATCTACCCAGTTCACACTGATGGACTGTTAATATAATTCGTATATATACAGTGTGTAAAGCGATGGGGTATACAAGAGGGAATTTTTTTTTAATATTGATTTCTGACAAAAATTTATTCTTCATGATATTTTTTGCTTGCTTTGAAAGTACCAATAACGTTTCGATTGTTTGTGGTTTGATAGCAATAAGCCGCGTACAGACCGGATTCCAACGCCAAGCCAACGAATCCAAGCACATGTGACGTTGACGTTTGTCGTTGGAAACGATTGGAATGCCCTCGTCCACACCAAAATTTAAGATTTGAGTTGGACTTGGTGGGACCGTGTTGGGTAAAGTTCGGTAACCGGTGCCGCTAGTCTGTCAAACAATGGCAAGCGACGAGGACGAGATAACAACACCATTTAAAAATAGGAGTTTGTATAGTGGCAGTGACTTACTAGAGGAACTTCAAAATGAAGATGGTGGACATTTTAAAAAGGCAGACAAACGACTAAAAACTAAAATCGCGACAAATCCTGTCCAGACCACATCAAATTTCCCTTTGAAGTACCGCTCACCGAGCGAGCGCAATCGAACGCCAACAGCGCCGTTGGAAGCGGTTGGAAACCGTTGGCTCGCGCGGTACACACCAATCCGAACACCTCCAAATCTGTAACCACATGTGCCTTGGCTTGCGTTGGAAACTCGGTCTGTACGCGCCTATACGCTATTTTGATTATAATGTAGAATAACTTTCAATAAAAAAAATTAATTTTATTATTTTTCCAGATTTCTATAAATAAATTTTAGATTATCGAAACGTTATTGGTACTTTCAAAGCAAGCAAAAAATATCATGAAGGATAAATTTTTTTCATAAATCAATATTTAAAAAAAATTCCCTCTTGTATACCCCATCGCTTTACACACTGTACATATATATAATTGTTCAGAATTTATTATATTTTTCTAGTTGTAGGTACGATTAAAATATTTACCAATTTTGAATAAATATTATACTCCTATTAAGTTCCTACGTATTTAAGTGTATAATGCTATCAACTCTTATCTTGAATATTTAAATAACTTACTCCGCCGGGATTTATAATAAATCCCGGGACGTCACTAGCGTGATGTCATAGTAAAACCGCGATTCGTATGAATACCGGAGCCGGGAGGCTAGTCACACCGTTTAAAAAAAGAGTGAGATACTTTTGAAAAAAAAAGTATTTGGCAACCTTGCAATGTCAAAAAATGGTTTAATTCATTTTTTCAAAATTAAAGTCAAATTCTCGAATCTGTAGGTCAGTCACACGACAATGGAAAATGATCAGATGAAGTCACTCTAGCATCTGCTCATCCGGGACATCACCTGCGTGAACACTGTTCCACATCATGCGAAGTTCAGGCATGGATATTTGTAAATGTATAGTGGGTGGAGTTGGTAGAGCAGCCCTGGCTGAAACCCCGCCCACTCAAAAATAAAGGCAAAATAAAATAAATATTCCGGCCTAAAATCTTTCTTCTTTATTGCCCTAGCCTTGGTCCTAGCTTTTGACATGTTTATCCAGTGCAGCATGAAAACATAATTAGTTTTTGAAGCCTCATAGCAGAGTCTGGAGACATGCATGGTGAATCTTTCCTCTTTCAAGGAATATCCTCGGCCTCGTCCTCGGCCATCCAATATGGAAATATCGCCCACTACAGGGGTATCCCTCAAGTCGTCCAGGAATGGACCAAAATATTCTCTTTTCATAACTTTTTTCCCTTTATGTAAATGACTGATTGTCTATTGCAGTTCATTATAGTTATACTATAATCGGCTAATTGTAGATTACATAAAGTACCTTTCTTTTCTACAATGCCACATACATCTTTGATGAAAATGCAAACGAGTCCTACAAAATGCATCTGGCACTGATGCAATTTCTAATTATCATCGATACCAAACAATCGATTGCTAGTCCACCCTTTTGGCCCCCCATTTCAATACAGAATTGTGTAGCAATCCGTACATGATATAAAGTATCGTGCTCATTGTGTACAAAACCACACTGTAGAAATTGTATTATTTTTACATCAACACGTAATTATTGAGTCATCTACAAAAGCATGTAATGAATATACAAAAATGTAAATAAGGTAAATTAAAGGTTAGAAAATATACCTACTTTTTCGTGAAAAATAGTCTCCATTTTTGAACACAAACCGTTAACTTTTCGATTTCGATTGCACTTTAAAAGAGAAAAGTGTCGGAAAAATTAAATATTAACGAAAAACCAAAATACTCGAACAATCATGTCAAAGTTTGTCACAACGAGAAAACTTCAAGTTATTTGGGATTAGAGAATTTTATTTTGGTGTTGCGCATTTCAAAATTTTATTATTACTTTCAATTATGTAAATATTGTATATAGAAAAAGTAAGTAATTTATCTGTTTTAAGATTTAAATTTAGATTATTCCAATCGAAGTCGATCGCTACGGTACGTCGTAAAATGGGGGAAAAGCGAAACATTTTTTTAGTTCTGTTTTGTTTTTATGAAACATGTTGACATTCAACATGGCGGCATGTCGTCAGTGCTGTGCTGTGTCGTGGTGAGTCGAAAATTTATAATTTCTTTGTCAAAATAACCACCAAGCCTTACCAAAATGTACGTAAAACCTTTTTATAATTATTTACGATTGTGAGGAACCGAAACAAAAGCTGTAAGGGACGTAATTCGAATGTATTGTGACATTTCTCCTTTGGATGTCTAACCCTTATTAACATCTTTTGTGTTTCCATTCCCCGCTAGTTTTTTCCTATTATTTCAAGTAGAAATTTTATACTACGTTAGCGATTCTCTGGAAAATTTCGTTTAACTTGTGCTCGTCTCATATAAAATTCAATTTATGAATGCGCGTCCCACGAAAAGGTAAATCAATAATTTGACTATTGTGTTCCTCTTTACTTCGAAAAAATGCAATATCTATCACACTTTTTCGATTAATCTCTATAGAATTGTATCATTTGCACAATTAATACCACCTTTGTGGTTAAATGCTCGGGCTTAAATTACTTGATCAATTTTAATTTATTTATAAACAAGCACGGTAATCAAACGCAAACGATTGTTTCTTCAGTCTTTTGCCCTAGTTTACCATTTAACTTACTTTGAAGCATTTGTGTGTATTAGAAAAAATCAATAATTTTCAAATCCCTGCACTTTAGGTTAATTGGTTTTTAAGTGTTAGGTTAGGTTACACTTAAAATCATTACATTTTACTATGTCCATGTAGCTGGCAGTACCGAAATCGAATTAGTGTGTAGTATCGTGATTTGAAATTTATGGTGGGGCCTTTTTTGCATAGTGTTGTTTGTAAACACATCTCGCATTGCAATGTTGCAACCTTTGAAACACATCATAAAACCATGTTGTCAAGACTGGGAGAATTACACCAAGGACTCTTCCATTAATAATGACATAATGTAATATAATAGATACTATAATGACCTTTTTTGACTGTCAAGTTTAAGATCAGTTTGTGCGTGGTTTGGTGATAAGTGCCTATAACCTTTTTTTTTCTCTAGATGGAGGGTATGCACAAGCAAAACAGCAGTCCAAAATGTTTGCTCAGTAAGTAATGTATCTATTTGCATTGGTTTGAGTACCCCAGTTTCGGACGACTACACCAGGGGTCTCCAAACCAGTCAAATGACCCGAAGTCCGAAGTTATGTTGAAATAGTACTGCTAGTGCCATCAATTGTTTGAATCTATAAAAACCTCTGATTATTTTTTGTATTCCTTCAACCCAGTTAAATAAGTCGGGCAATTGATAAAAGTAAGTAGGTACAGCATGCCATAGTTTGAATTGAAGACCTCTAGTCTACATGATTGCTGCAAAAACGGATCTTAAAACATGATTTAAATGTCATTGTCCAAACGGCAGTACTTAAATGTAATAAGTATGCACTGCCCTAAACCGAAATCGGTATCCATAAAGTTGGCACCCGCTCTGGACCCAAATTTCAAATTAATGTGTCTATAGTTTAGGACTACACAGAAGCGGTTTTTGATCAAAAATGTCTTTCCCAGGACCCAATTGCACCCATGAGTATTTTGTCGAACAAAAATGTTGGGTTAAAATTTTGAATTTGATTCATTCTGCAATACTAGCCGTGCTAATAATTAAAAAAAAGTCAGAATAAATGGAATTCTCGAGAAACTTGTATTTCAAATTTAGAATTGGGGCATTTTTTCGAAAAAATTGTGAAAAAAATTTGAATATTAATTTATTCTGCAACATGGGCGATTTGAAACCTTCGCCAATCGATTTTTACGGCTTCAAGGATCAATGCTATTGAATATGAGCCCAATTAAAAGTCTGGTTTCCAAATACGAGCCGAGTAGCACAAAAATGCGTCTGGTTCTAAATTCGAAATCTCAAGTTCAATGAAACTTCCTTTTTGTTAGGTTGCAATTTGAAATGATTCAAATTGTTTTTTATTAGTAGGTTCAAAAATCGCATATTGCAAAAATTCAAATTCGAATTTCAACCGGATTTTTTTTTACATTAAATGCTTGTGGATAATAAATGATTTGAATTTGAAACACAAATTTTTCGAATTTTGAAAACAAAATTAAAATTATTTTCTGCGATTACAGCGCCACCTGTTACCACGACAGGAAAATGTTTCGAATAAAATCTTTAAACTTTTTAAGTAGAATCGAGATGTGGAATAAAAAATGTGAGTTCCCATTTGAAATTACAAAGTTGAACTCCTACCCTCCTCTCTAGAAGGGGCGATTGGGACAATTTTAGTATGACTATTTGTTAAAAACTTTCAAGCACTTAAGTTATAAAACCCTGTATTAAAAAATTGGCAAAAAGGTACCCAAAAATTTTTGGGTTGAGGAAAAAGCGTCAAATTTATACCGTTTTAAAAAAGTGTACACAAGTCTATTTTCCCCTCATTCAGAAGGGGCCAGTAGGTGAATAATACAATTAATGGGACACTATTAAGCTAATTATAGGAACGTTTTTCTCTAATTAAATAGTGTTTTGCAATTCAATTGAAATGTTTTGAGCCTTGTCAAGTATGTCAGGGCCCCTTTACCATTCTGGACCCCAGTCTACGATCTATTGCGTCTGTTCTGCCAGGTACATATGCGCTGGTAAAAAAACCACCCAACATGCGAGAGAATAAAAACTAATTAGTGATTAATTTTTAATTAAGTGCTACTTGGGTGTATATTTAGTCCCTTGGCCCCTCTATTGTTATCGTTACAGTTGGACTATTTGCAAGTTGATAACCCTTCAGATTATACCGGAAGTTGATGCCAACTTGTTTATTTTAAATGGAACACCCTATATATTTTGTCATTTTTAGAGTATGTAAAGTTCTGCATACATTTCATGTGTAAGGCCCTATACCTACATTTATCAATTTTTGACATATCTTAAATTAAAATAGTATATTGTCGTAAGGTTTAATAGTGCGTATTATATGGGTGAGTGGAACAATTGCGCAAAAATTTCCTAATAACTTTTCTTAGTTAAAGAAACTCAGGAAAATGTTTACTACAAAAATCTCCTTTAATGATTGTTTAAACATGTTTTCAAAATAGGTGTCAGGTAAAAAAGTTATCGGACCTATACATCATTTTTTTTAGATAGATCACCTTGTATATTTTAATCTAAAAAAGATAGTATGTATATTAAATTATTTCAAAAATACTACAACAATTCAATACTTATTGATTGAAACAGATTAAAAAAAATTTTAAAATAAATGTATACGGGTCAGGTAGAAAAGTTGGACCTAAGTTATTTTTAGATAGATGATCCTGTATATTTAATCTAAAAAAAGATAGAATATTAAATTCTGTTTTCGAAAATAGAACACAATGAAACTTAAATATTGATTGAAACAGTTTCAAAAAAGATTTTAAAACATTTTAACATATGTAGTCAGGTAGAGAAGTTACCGGACCTAACCTCATTTTTTAAATAGATCATTTTGTATATTTTAATCCTCTTTTTAATCTAAAAAAGATAGGATATTATTATTTTTTAAATAGAACAACAAACACTTAATATTGATTGAAACAGATTTAAAAAATTTTAAATTGAGCATACGGGGTCAGGTAGAAAAGTGTTCGAACCTAACCCTCATTTTTTAAATAGATCACCCTGTATATTTTAATCTAAAGAAGATAGTAAAAAAAACAAATTCAATAATGATTGAGACAGATTCAAAAAAGTTTTAAAAATATTTTATAAACTTATTTATCTTTTTCAATTTTTTTTAATGACTGCAGTCTTTTTTTAATAGCATCCCCAATTGGTTATATTTTTGAAAAGATATGCTATCTTTTTCTTTTCCCTCAGTTTGGAAATCCACTAGAATTACCCCGATCCATAAAAGCGGCAGCAAGAAACTAATCGAAAATTACCGCCCAATAGCTATCATCCCTGCAATAGCGAAAATTTTCGAAAAAGTAATCTATAATAAACTTTATTTCCATCTTGGCAGTGTTATTGCAGATCAGCAGCACGGATTCACACCGAAGAAATCAACAAGTACTACTGCCGCCGTCCTTGACAAGAGGGCTCAGGTGGACTGTGTATACACCGATTTTGCGAAAGCTTTTGATAAGGTCTCCCATCAGGTCCTGCTTCAGAAACTTCATTTTAATTGTGTCAGTAGCCCAACGCCTAAATTTCTTAAATCATATTTAACATCGCGTAAAACGCGAGTGAAATACAATGGGGTGAACTCAACCGAATTTTACCCCTCTTCAGGGGTACCTCAGGGAACACTACTTTGCCCTTTCCTTTTCCTACTATTTATTAATGACCTACCGCGGGTGATTCAAAACTCCAAAGCACTTCTATTTGCAGACGACCTGAAACTTTTTAATAAAGTGAAATCTTCAAACGATTGTTTAAATATTCAAGCAGACATAAATGCAGTGATAAATTGGTGCAATAAAAACAAACTGAAGCTAAACATAGAAAAGTGCAAAGTTGTATCGTACACAAGATCCAACAATTCCACGATTTTTAAATACGAAATAAATGGGCAGGATATCCAAAGAGTCACCTCGGTTAGAGATTTGGGCGTTTTATTCAATAGCAACTTAAATTTTCATCGGCACATTGAATCCCTTATAAATGCGTGCTACAAAGTACTAGGCTTTGTAATTAGGAATACCTACAATTTTACAAGCATTTCCTCAATTATTACCTTATACAATGCGTTCATCAGATCCAAACTCGATTATGCGGCATGTATTTGGACACCCCAAACTTATAAGCACGCAGACATGATAGAGAAAGTTCAAAAAAATTAGTGCGAATAGTGTATTTTAGGTCGACTCAAAATTTTCCACATTTAATCTACTCCAACCAACTAAAATTTTTAAATAGTGTGCACGGTATTAAAATCTCAAGTTTACAAATCCGACGCGAAGTGATCTGTGCTACCTTTGTGTACAAGATACTGAATAATCACCTAAATGCCCCAGCATTGCTTCAGGAAATTAAACTCAAAGTGCCCCATGTTAAATTAAGGAAAAACGATATCATCTTTTTAGTGACCACTCCGTCATCGCCACTATCGAGGAGCCTGTTGGCTTTAAATAAGAAGTGCCGTGAGAGAGACATCGATGTATTTCACGGCTCTTTGAATGAATTAAGATCGTAATTACTGTGTAGTTTTAGTTTTAAGTACAGCACCCCAGTGCCATGTAATTGGAATAATTGTATTCTGTATGGTATCTGGCTAAACAAATAAATAAATAAATAAATAAAATATTTAAAAAAAGATTGCAATAATTCAATACTTAAAGTATAATTTTTTAATCAATATTGATTTTGTAATTTTTTCATTGTTATATTTTTGAAAAGAGAAGGTAATATATCTAGATTAAAATATACAGGGTGTTCTACTAAAAAGAATGAGGTTAGATCCGATAGTTTTTGAACTGTCTCATTTACTTTGAAGACCACAGATTATTAAACAATTATTATAATTATAAATATAACCTAAATAACAAACTTTTGTAATAAACATTTCTTTTTTTAATTTTCCTTTGTACCTGCTAAGCAAGCAAATATTTTCAAGTTTTGATTTTACGGAAAAGTGTCGAAAATGGGACTCTCTGTACTTTTGCCTGTATTACTGTGATGATATTTTAATTACAAGTATACAGGGTGATTCCTATAGTACCTGCCACCGTTTGGGAGCGTGTAGGTGGTGCGTAGGGGAGTATTTTGATATAGGACACTTGGGGTCGGAAATCTAAAATAAGGGTGCCAGAGCCAAATTTACCTTCTGGAATTTCGCGCCTGTAGGTAGGCAACCCAACCGGCCGGCGGTGCACACGGAGCGATCTCAGGCGGCGATGTGTGGCTGACACTTGATCAGAATTTTGTTTAAACCCACGAAATCCCGTCTGCAACGACGCGTATCAAGTGAATAAACACTATGGCAATAGTATAATAATAGTTGGCTAGATGTAGGAAGTGCATTGAGAACAACGGTGGCCACGTTGAACACTTGTAAACGTTATTGCTTTTGACTGTCGTTTTCCCTCCTTCCCTCCCATGTCGCTTCCTCGCGCTAACTCGCTCTGCATCGCTCCGCGCGAAACGTCGGTCGGTTGGGTTGCCTACATACAGGCGTGAAATTCCAGAAGATAAATTTGGTTCTGGCGCCCTTATTTTAGATTTCCGACCCCAAGTGTCCCATATCAAAATACTCCCCTAGGCACCCCCTATACGCTCCCAAACGGTGGCAGGTACTATAGGAATCACCCTGTATATAGAGGGTTCAAATGAAAAAGTCGTTAACACCAAATCTTCTTCTATTTTTAGAAGTTAATTAATTTTCCGTTTTTGAAATATTGACTGTTTAATATTTTTTCTATTGTAAAATTTTAAATATTTAATATAGTTAAATATTAAATACGGCTTTAACAATTTTTGGTAGTGGCCGAAATGGCAGCGGAAAAAAAAAACACTTACCACTTAAAATTCTAATTAATAGCATTTCTACAATAGAAAAATATTAAATAGTCAATATTTTGAAAACTGGAAATTTTTGGGATGGACTACTTTATACAAAATTACTCTTATCTTTTGTACTTAATAAGACAGGCAAGGGGTTTCCATTTAAAAAAACGATTTTTTAATTCAATTATTGTTTTTGAATCTTTTGGATCTGTAATATCAATAGTCCACTAAAAGGGGACGTTTGCTAAAAGGAAACAAGCTTGATTAAATAGTAGCAGCTTTCATAAAACCTCATTTTTCACAGAAAAATTAAAATATGTCATAGGGTAATAATATATAGGGTGTCCCATTTAAAATAAACAAGTTGGTATCAACAGGCAGGCCAAACGAGCTGAAAAATTTGAATACCACTTATGATATAGATAGTAGACACCCATTGTAGGACACCCTGTATGTACTCGGCACACTCCTAAGAGTAGTACATAGAAAAAAGTCATTAGCAATTAATTAATTACTAAATTGTGTGGAATAGAAAAACTTATCTTTCTTTCCTTTTGAGCGCAGCTCTAAAATTAAAGAAGCACCAAGTTACTCAATTGAGGCACTTAATCCGTACTTAATTAATGTCTGAATACTTTTAACCTTCGAGTATTTGGGAAGTTGCTCTACTTACTATAAAGCCGAGTATAAAGCTAAAAATCAAATAGCACTAAATTTCGAATTGGGGGCACTAAATTATCACTTATAGCGATTTCTACTGCTGTGCCAACTACATGGACATCATTTTACTGAAACCTCACATATCGACGTCTATCAAACAATAAGCGTCCGTTATCTACGGAGCACACTTGAAACAATTAACCTAGAAGTATCGTATTTATATTATTCGTTAAGATAAATTGATAACGGATTAGGTTTATCATGTAGAATCTCGCAGTCTTATAACTTATACGTTTCTTTTTATTTCTAGCTTGTGTAACTAAGAAACCAAAATTTAGAATAGAAAATTCAAAAGCAACCGGTATCAGCGCAACCACTGGCCTTGACAAATTATGAGCGACACAACACAATCCGTACCCAGCACGCATTGAAGACATCTGAGGATTTTTAGTTCAGCATTTCAGTTTACGTTATTTAAAACAAATTTTGTGTGATCGTGAATTGTCGTTAAAAAGTATTTTTTAAAAGAAAAAGAAAGGAAAAAGAAATTGTCTCGGGATCGTTTTGTGAACTTGTCGAGAATGTATATATCGAATGCTGCACGTTAAGTTGACCTCGATCCTGCTGTCGATTTTTTCCACTACGATATCCGCTGCCATATATGACTGTTGTGGGTATTATTAATAGCATAACCGTTCTGTGATATTCGCTACACTTAGAAAATTGATATAACCAAGTGAAGCTAAATCATTGTTCCGATAGACAATGTCCACCAATCCTCAGTGGAAAACTTTCCAGCCGCCTGACGTCATGCATCAAGACTCTGCCATTCTCGATTTTAAAAGTATGACCACCAATGGTAAGTTTGCGTAGGCTTCTTGTAGCATCTTGTAGGATAACCACATGTCACTGTTGATAACTGTTTGAAATTCAAACTGTATTGAATCTATGACAAATCTTTCAAACAACTCGATTGATTGTTCAAGCCAATAGAAACAGATGGCGCACATATACATTTCTCGGAGGTTTTCGCGAGATTTGCCATACTTTATCAAAATTTCCAATGGTTTTTGGAAGTGTGTAGAAAAGCATAACAGTTCTGTATTTGCAGTCATAATTGCTTTTAATAAATGAAAAAATTCACACTCAACATCCACCCAAATAGGGGAAAAGGACAGGTAAATATAAAAAATGTAGTTTTGAAACTATGAATATTAAAAATCGATTGGAAAATCAAACGCTTTTTATCAGTATATCTGTGTTTTGGCTTTTCAGAGATAGCGAATTGATTTTGTTGTTAAATACAAACTTGCACACTGAATGTCATACAATGCCCCGACCAGTTCTCACCTCCCAAGAAGGTTAAAAAGGAGAAGAATAAAAGTTTTGCTCTGTCTTCTTTTGGGTTAAAAATGAAGTAATTTTTGAGTTAAGGCTTTGCTTCAAACACATTCTCGAAATTGAAAAAAAAAGTAAATAAACTTTATCAATAGGGAGAGTACTTGCAATTGTACTTCTGAAGAATTCATTTTTCGCAATAAAAATGGTAATAATTTTGAGACCGTTTTCAAAATGGGTGTAATTTCATCACAATAGTCTCAAAATTGCCATTTCCTTCATTATTTACTCCACAACTTTGATCTGGGTATGAACATAACAAATTTCAGATTTCTCAAAATGCATGTAACTAAAGTCTACGCAGCAAATGCGAAAACTGTATACCTACTCCCTCTCTTCATATCTGTAACATTTTCTTCAATGTGTCGCAAAGTTACAGTTACAGGGTGTAACAATTAGTATATACAGGGTGGTCCAAATTGGACATTTTCTTATGGAAACACCCTTTATTTTAAGAGAAACAAATATATTGGGAGCTCAATTTTAAAGAGAAAATCACTGGCGCGAAATTGGCATCTCTAATCGTTTGGTTGCTAGGGGGCGTTTCTTGAATTTAGTAAATTTCTTTAGTACCCATAACTTTCTTATTAAAAACAATTGATTTTAAAATCTTTCTTAGAAAACTTTTTTATGCAGAATTAATCGCGATACACGGTTTTTATACGGCCTTAAACTACATTTTTTCATACGAATCTCTATATATTTTGAAGTTTTTGAAACGAACGTAAGATTTGCCATGTAAACAAAAATTCCATCGACACGGGTAATTAGAGCGTACTTTAGTTGAGGTATCAGACGAGGTTCTACATTTAAATGTTCAACATTTTCCCCAGCCAACAGTCGTGATATCGTTTGTTGAACTTGAAAATTTGCTTGCATTATAAATTAATGCTGAATTGAACACCGCTGACGTTTTATAATTTATCAAACTTGGGCGCCATATTTTTTTTGTATATCATTTATTTTTTTATTCCTTTTTTCTTTTTTCCCATTTTTATTGTTTTCTTTTGACTTTTGTTGTTTTGTTGCAATTAGTACCACTGGAAACTTGATTTGTAATAAAAATGGGTCAAAAATTAATAAAATGCTAATATATCTTAAATTTGCACAAAAACCCCAAAAATGCAAAATATGCACTATTTGCTTTGCGCCAATGTGATTCATTTTTGTTAGTTCGTGTAAATTATTGCTTTATTTTGAGCTGTATACAATATTTACGTAATGCATAAAAGCATGAAGTCCCGGTCTCTAATAATTATTAATTTTCTCTTTAAAATTGAGCTTCACACACCTAGATCTAATTTTTTCTCTTAAAATAAAGTGTTCAATAATTGGAGCACCCTGTGCATCAAAAAGATTGAGTGGTAGAGTGCATCAAAACAAGCATCTTTTTTTTTTTCGAATCAACCATGGTGTATTGTTTGGTAGCCACGATTTCAAAAGTCCCTAAATTAGTGTTTCCTCTTCAGTTCCGTTTCTCATTTTTTTCAGAAGAACAGAAACTTATGTTTTTCAGTATACCCCTCAGTATTCTTACTGCAAGAGGGCGCACCCGTAAAGATCCAGTGTTGATCGCGCGGCTGTAGTGATTTTTACTCAGGCGTGGAATATGTGAAGATCAAAACCCACGCGATTCGATTCTAGCCGCGAGATTGACACAGGACTTTAAAGGGTGAACGAACTTTTGTAGCCAGGAAGTTTTTTAATTAGTTACCAGATTCCTTGACGTTCTAAAAATCTGGGGCTAATCTTAAAATTCATGTTAATGAAGCGCGCATCATTTGACACTGGACACAGTCTAATCAGACTAGGTTTCTACAACACATCTGATTAGCTACAGGTACGTATACTCACTTAATTGGCCGGATTAAGTCTTATGACACATATAGCAAGTGCGGAGTGAGTGCGGATCGACTGGTAATGACGCACGTCACGGCTATTTAAGGCGCGAGTAAAAATCAGTTGGTCTGTTTTCATCCAGTTGCTAACCATGTTTCATTTCGTGCATGAGAATAAGGATCTTTTACCGAAATAGAAAAGTTTACAACTGCTTATTGAAATTAGCATTTGTTTCTCTCAGTCAAGTCTTTAAAGGACTGCAAAAGGGATAAGAGATAGGTTCGAGGATAGGTTTGATCAACATCTTCAGAAGGCTGGCGCATGAATTGGAAAGCCTGATCCATCCTGTTGAGAATCGAGCTGTGAAAAGAAATAGCGTTAATGTCGAGGAGAATGCTTTAGGTAATGTAGGATATGCTCCTCGTGATCACTGAGTGAAAACAAGAAACTTTTATGCCGAGTATTTTCTGGGAGTTGAGGCTGTTCCCTTCCAAGATAGATATGCGTTTCAATAAACGAACAAATTGCTATGCATGTTTCTGTATTCTAAACCATTTAATTCAACTGAATAAAAATTCACCAATTTGTTTTTGTTTTATTTCATCTAGTTCGTCCCAATCGTGATTCACTAATTTACCAATTTCCCTCAAGCAAGAGTCCTTGTTTATATTGTTTTTATAATCCCTTATCCCACAAACATGGTCGCTTTTGTATCTCATCGATAATTTGTTCGAAATCCATCGCAAATTCGCAAGTAAAGTTGTAAAAAAACACGTGGTATGTGTCAAGCGCCATCTGTTATAATTGGCGCTCCCACTATAATGAACCGCGTCGCTGAGCCATTGTGCCTTTGTTAAATTTGATTGATAAATATTAACATTTTATTTTTTTGTTAAAATAAGTTTTCTGTTGCGTTAAAAAATGCAATGAGAGTAATAGGTATGACAAAAATTAAATATAATCATAATAAAAACTAGCAACAAAAATTTTTTGCTCAAAATTATGAAATCTAGAAACGAGGTACCCAATAAATTTTTGAGTGTGGTGTATTTTTACCCGGTCTTAATTTTGGTTCATGGAGGGATGATGTCCCGGAATTCAACGCGGTCAATGTGACAACGCTACGGCGTACTCGAGTGATAACTTATCCGGCTTATAGCTCAGTGGTAGAGCGTTGGGCTATAAATCCGGAGGTCGGGTGTTCGAACCTGGTTTGAGGTGAATTTTTCATCTGTGGCAGAGATGGGAATTTCCTTAGATCAGTTTCGAGCATTCTGCCGGCTACTCCGAATTAGGTTTTCCTGCAGTTTTCCTAATTCGTAAGGTAAATACAGGAGTAGTATAGAACAACTTAGGACCTTCTGCAGGGGCACCTCTAAAAAGCATTATGCGGGTCACTCTGTAATTGGGCGTAAGCCTGTTGAGGGCCTAGAACAAGAGGGACAATAAATAAATAAATAAATAAACTTCTTTAATTGATTACCCGACTCTTTGACCTCAAACATCTGGGACTAATCTTGAAATTCATGCTAATTAAGCGCGCATCATTTGACACTAAACACAATCTAATCGGACGAGGTTTCTGCAACACACCTAATTAGCTACCGGTATTTATGCTCACTTAATTGGCGGGATTAGCATTCCAAAATTCGGTAGTCCAGTAATGCCCATTGATACATGAATTTCGGGTCAATCGCAAAAGGTCTGCGATAATGAAATAAACTGCTTACAATTCAATTTTAATTGAAAAATATCAGCATTTTTTGGGGTGCACAATCTTTGAACCTGAAAGAATCTAGGTAATGTCCTATCCTATGAGTTATGTATGCTGAGAGAATATTTAAAAAAAAACAATTTTGGTATTTGTCCAATTAAAAAAAAATTAAATACAGAGTAGTGGTAAATAAATGGGAAACTATATTTTGTTTTCAAACAGTTTTTGGTGTCTAGATGTATTGAAAAGTTCCAAAACTGGTTTACACTAGTTTACGTCTCTCATTTTCATCTGTTTAGATTTTTGGGACATTTTCCAAGCAGTTTTAAATTTTTTGTCAGGCGTACAGGGTGGTTCAAATTCGTGGGATCTCTGTAGCGGTAAGATATACAGTGTAGGATAAATGGGAACAAAATTTCCCTTTTTTGTGACGCATTTGAAAAATAAATTGAAAATAACTGAGAAATTACCGAACAAAATTAGAATGTCAAATTTAGCTCGAAATTTAGTTTTCATTTTTCCTCTGGACGGTTTCCGTGTGCTCTTTTTTTCAGAGAATCTGAATTTCTTATTTCTGATGGACGTCATATTGGATTTTACGAAATGAGAAAAAATTTGAATGCATCGCCGTCATGGATGTTTTGCTGAGAAATTACTGTAAAACCTTAATTTTGAAATTTTTTTGTATGAAATCCTTATTTTTCTTTTTTTTTTCCTCTATTTCATTCTGTAAAAATCCAATATGGCGCCCAAAGGTAATAAATTAGTAGCTCACGGGCAGCCAACCTTTTTAACAGATGGGCCAAATATGAAAAGTAAAATTTCCTCCTGTGCCCCGCACTTTTTTTTTGGTAATTGAAGCAAACATATTTAGTTACTTAAACACTGAATATGTTGGAGAAGGCTCTTGGACTGGGGGGTATGGAATATCCCTCATGAAAAAAGAAAGCTTCAACATTCTATTTTTTACAATTATATTTAGATTTTCGTGCGCTAGAGAAATTTGCTAGGGGGTATTCCCCCTGGCACTCATTTTTTAAAAGAAATTCCATAACCCATACACCTATACAAGGTACATCCAAATTGTACAGGTCCCTTAAATTGGGAACATTTTATGGTTATTTTTCCACAAATGAATGTAACAATTAATTTTTGATGACAGGTATTATCTCCTTAAATACTCAAGTAATCAATCAGCAAGCAATCAGTTAATCAATGGTTAACCTTAATCGGCGTTTGTAAAACCTGGCATCAGTCTAGTAATACCGCACACCTCTAAGAATTCTGTTAATGCCTCACACATGTCCGCGAGTTAAAAAAGTCTTCTCTTAAGAGTTTCTTTAGTGATAGGTTCTTCAATAACCTTAGCCATGTCACATTAACACCCTAACTAAAAATTAGCCTTTCTTCTGGTAGAGCTTATAGTGACTAATTAACACTGCTAGCATTTTGTAGAATTTTTTAGATATTTTAGAATTTTTTTGAATTTTCTAGAACAACTGAGTATTTTTTTAATTTTTAGAATTGTCTACAATAGTACAATGTTTAGGATTTTTCAAAATTCCTTTTTGAATTTTAGTGTACACTACTTACTAGCATTTTGTTGAATTTTCTAGAAATTTTTTAGAATTTATTTCTGAAACTACAAGCACACACAATTATTATTTTATAATTTTCAGAATTTTAGTGTACACAACATTTGAAGTGGTAGTACAGGTAGTAAGCTACATATTAAAGGATATTAATAAATAATTGTTGCATGCAGGAATATCATTTCAATTGTTATATGAAGTTCAAATTTTGCCAGTTAAGACGGGTCGAAATATGCAATACCACACAAAACGAAACCGTATTAATAAACAAGTAAAATAGAATAGAAATTGTTCTTTTTTTTATATTTGAAAAGTGTAACAATTAATACATTATTGCATAAGTTAATATTTTGAAATTGAGTAATTCATGATTGATACCCATTACAGTGCCCCCTTCGTGATTTGATCATACATTTGTAAATTTCGTATTTTCACATCTGCAAAAGACATGTTTGCAGTTACTTGGAAACACTAGAACTGTAGCGGTAAAAAGTAGAAAAAGTAAAATCATCAAACCACAATAATATTTTAATGAAGCATTAGTGAACAATTGTAGTGATTGCTGATTATGACAGCTTTACTGCTGTTTTAAACGCATACATTTGATTAAAATATTGTTGTTTTTGCTTTACTTTTTATTGCAGTATTGTATTTCCCAAAGGTGTATGTTAAATGTAGGGCGATGTAACACAAATATTGAATTTTACCCATAATATTAAACTTACTGGTTTATGATAAAATAAATATTTACGACTGAAATCTAAATAGATGTCAGTAACACGTTCACATGACTCCGCGAATAAAATTTGTTATTAGGTGGTAAATGGTAAGTCCTAGTCCTAGTGTAATAACAGTTCTGAGACAAGTGGTTATCCTGCATAGCTGTGTGTTTATTAAAGTATTAATGAGAGCGCCATTTTAGGTAAATCAACACAGGCATTTAACTTTAGTCGATCTAATTCAACTTCACGTTTCGGACCTGATTTTCCTCTCCTTCAAGACAAGTCATCATATAGTAGTTTATATGGATCATCAAGTACGACAGCTCGTTTTCCTCCTATTGGTACATTCTCCCTAGATTCCAATAACATATACAACAGTAGCGGGGACTCACCTAGTAATAGTATATTTTCAAACGGCAACACCAGCTATAACGAATCAAATTCGGCAAATCTTGGCACACGGGAAACTGGAATCATAGAAAAATTATTGGTAAATTTGTTTATTTTTTATTATTATCAAGTTGACCTTGCGCGTTTTTATTATTGATGCCATTGACTGATAAAAGCTAATTTTAGCATTCGTACGGATTTATTCAGTGCTGCGAACGACAGGCACGACTGTTTTTCCACTTCAGCCAATTTAGCGGAAACATTGAGCACTTGAAGATTGGCGACCCTGTCGAATTCGAGATGACCTATGATCGCCGAACTGGAAAGCCGATCGCCAGTGCAGTGACGAAAATTGCGCCTGATGTTGTAAGCGCAAATTTAATGCGTCGCGTTTGTCATCTTGATTTTGTGGAATTTTAGGTAATGAGCGAGGAACGTGTGACGGGCACCGTTACGACGGAACTGCGCATCGAAGGATCGGGTGGTGACACTCAAGGAAGAATTAGTTACGAAAATCGCGGCGAATGCTTTTTCCTACCTTACACCAAAGATGATGTTGAGGGGAACGTTACGTTACGAGCGGGGGACAAAGTTAGTTTTCAAATAGCTACAAATAACCGGTAGGTTAATAAATATTTATACAAGGTCCGACAATAATAGGAAGTGGAGGCGAAATACCAAACAAAACTATATGCAAACTGACAGTTTCTTTTTTCTAGTATACAGGATGGTGCCATATATAAATATATTTAATGTCAAAGTCATTTTTTCTGGTATTCTACTATATTTTTGATGTAGAATTAATTTTCATTGTATGACGCGCTTGGCTTTTTTTGCTACTGTTTGCTACTGCTGATTTTATAATTTTTTCCTATGGAATGACATAAAAATCCAATATGGCGTCCATAAGAAAGTTGATGTGATTTGCTTGAAACTCGCAAGTGATAAAAATTGTGTTTTAGCACTATCAGAAAGCTGAGAAAAAATCACTAAGGGTTTGTTAAAATGATTTTTTGATATCTTTAAAAATGAATGAACGCCAGCCCATTTTTGAAAATGACATTTTTCGGGATTTTTAGCATAACTTCGTTATTTGTACAGTTTAAAAAAACTTGTAGCGAGGCCTGAGGATGACTATTAATTAGTCTAAATGGATCGCCAATAGAAAATATATGATTTATTGTTGTTTTATATACTTACCACAAGCATCATTCGAAATCACAATAAAGAAAATGGAGCAATTCATTTCTAAAATAAGAAATGTACAGGGTGGTCCAAATTGGACACTTATGGAAACGCCCTTTATTTTAAGAGATAGGAAAAAATAGACCTAGGTGTCAGGAGGCCAATTGTAAAGAGAAAATCACTGGCGCAAACAGAATTCAGCTACCACTAATCGTTTGGCCGCTAGGAGGCGTATCTCGAATTTAGTCGATTTCCTGAACTCCACATAACTTTCTTATTATTAAAGATAATTGATTTTGGCAAAATCTTTCTTAGAGATGTTCCCCTTCCCACGCCCCTAATATTTTATGAGCTAGAGCAATATGTGCTGCAGCAAAATGATGCAAAATTCGTACGCCCTCTAGTGGCGATGCTAGAAACTTGAAAATAATTTCCAGCGATTTCTCTTGGCCCCTTTTGTTAACAAAATTTTATATATATATACTTATTTTTTTGGTATTTTTATGCCTTCCACCTTCTTTGTTGTTGTCGGATCGTATATGTTGTTTGTACCGTAGTTGTTTTTTCAGTGGAAATCTAGGCGCATGTCACGTGCGATTAGAAAACCCAGCGCATCCGGTCAAATATCAAGGTGTCATCTGTTCCATGAAAGAAAGTTTCGGTTTCATCGAGAGGGCGGACGTCGTCAAAGAGATTTTCTTTCACTTCTCAGAGGCAAAAACGAAAGAGGAGCTGCGGTTAGGTGACGACGTGGAGTTTATCATTCAAACACGGAATGGAAAGGAAGTTGCTTGTAATATAACTCGTTTACCGGCCGGCACGGTCATATTTGAGGACTTAAAACCCGACATTTTGAAAGGGCAAGTTTTAAAGCCGCTCGATCGTGGCCCGAACACGAGGCATCAAACTGACGCCTTACCGGGGCGGATTCGGTATCGCGCTCCTGACCATTCGGAGGTAGAAATTTCATTCGGCGATAAGGATCAGAAAGGAGACTTTACTTTGCGCCACGGCGACTGGGTCCAATTCCAAATTGCGACCGATAGACGTGACCAACTAAATCGTGCCACGCACATTTTGTTGTTAGATGAAAGTTTCATGGTGTCCGGCGAGAGAAGAGAGCAGGGGGTGGTCGCGTCCGTCAAGGATGGTTTCGGCTTTTTGAAATGCGTCGAACGTGAAGCCAAGTTATTCTTTCATTTTAACGAAGTATTGGATGTGGATCAGGATATCAAAGTGGGCGAAGAGTTTGAATTCACTGTTGTCCAGGACCAAACGAGTACATACGCAAACAACCGTCAAAGCGCCATACGAATGAAACGTTTACCGGCTGGCACAGTTCAATTCGAAACAACAGTTGAAAACGAAGTCTCGGGAATCATATGTAAGGAAACCTCACCTCATAATTGGTCTACAAACAATAGGAGTCCAAGTAAAACGCAAAATGGACAAAACGGTAACGGCGATCATACTGTCGAATCCGGTATGATCACTTATCAGCTCAACGGTATTAAAAAGACTATTCCATTTTATTCCAAAGATTGTGACTTAAAGCAGTTTCCTAGGTTTGGAGATAAGGTAGTATCTCTAATTGGACAATTCTAGCGAATAACGATGCGCTTATTTTCTCAGGTACAATTTAATGTTAATCAAATAAAACGTAACAAGGAATTAATTGCCGTCAATATACAAGTTTTACAATCAGCTTTACAAACAAATGGTATTTCGAAACCCAGTAATCGTTCGGTTTTACTAACGCATCAGGGTTTTATTGCTGCTCTTAAAGATGGATTTGGATTTATAGAAACTATGCAACATGATAAGGAAGTTTTCTTTCACTTTAGGTAGGTATATTATTATTTATTCATTTTAAAAATAATAATCTTGTGCAAAAAAAGTATAGATAGTTCAGCATATTATGTTGATCTGGCAACATTGCATTTCTACGGTTTTTAACAACTTGTTCTTCAAGAATTCTATCTCCACATATTGGATGTTTGAGAGATAAATTATTAAGCCAGTTAACTTAACTTGCAACTTATCACATCAAAATCGTTCAGAAAGTCGAGAGCCAATGAGGTATCAATATCTTTGGCAAGATCATTACTGACCCTAAATAACACAGTACTGATGATGTAATGTTTTCTGAACTTGTATTCCATTTTTTCAAGAATTTTAGGTGCCACTAGCAGTAAGTGTGCTGAAGATTATAATAAACAGACAAATCAAGGCAACCTTATCTAACAGTGTTCTCATTTTTACAATTTAAATTGAAAAAAACATGTAATGATTAATTGAACTATCTAGATTCTTTTAATATTTCTCTTAGAGCAGACCGTCGACATATAATAAATGGACTGCGCGCGTCAATGATAAGCGCCGATACTGCAGGTGAGAGAGAAGGTAAAACTAAGAGGGCAAGTTGTCTCTTACGATTACGCATCTGATTGGTTCTTTCAATTTAATTTGAATGCGATCACTTTTGTAGAAAGGACCAATCTGACGCGTAATCGTAAGAGACAAGTTTACCCTCTTAGTTTTCCCTTCTCTCTCACCTGCAGTATCCGTGCTTAGCATTGGCCGGCACGCACAGTCCATTTGTTATATGTCGATGGAGTTGCAAATACTACTAAAAGTTTAATTGTAAGGTTATGTTTGTTTCTGTGTTCGCAATGATCTTATTTGTGGCCAACTAAAATGTCGAATTTTAAAAAAGACTCACATTAGTCTCAAACAAATTGAGCTATTTATTTACTCTCTATGGGGCGGTACATTTTAGTGACATCATTGGAGCGCCCTTTTCACTAGTGTCAAATTTTGGCATTTTCACCTTGAAGATCATTTTTGTGCTAGAACGCATGAATCACATGAACGGAGCAGTCTAGTAGTTTGTCATGATTGATGCAGCTGCCAAGTTCCTCCTGTCCACTGGTGTAGTGTGTTGTTACAGTCACAGCATCACAAAAATGTCTTGCTAATTAGCAATGGTCTGTCATCTTGGAGAACTCGACCTTGGATTTTGAATCCTACAACACCACTTAAGGCGCTGGCTGCTCTAATCGTCATAGCCCAATTCGACGAGTCAAGTGCTCTCAATAAATGTTTTTGATCACCTCCTCACTTGTTACGGCCAATTCAGTCTACAATATTTACACAAACTTGTAGTTCTAATAAATGCAGGCTATGTACTAAGGTAAACCCTGTAAAATGATTATGGTTAGATATAGGGTGAAGTCTGGCATAATGTACACTGTGGCAAGTGCTAACCTAAGGTAAGTTTATTTTTGTATGTCTGTAGACCTTCTATAATCGGCCACTGTGCCAGTGTGGCATTCCAGTAATCCGGCGTATTTTGACAGGCGTGGTTGGGGATTCAAGTTCAGACATATTATTGAAAACAAAGGAGTATAGCATAGGAAAGCTTTGACCTTCAATGATAAAACGAGTGACGTATTTTGTAAGCTGGTAGTTTCTGTTGCCAAACTAAATTGTTAACTGTTAATGTCAGAGATCCAAAAGGGGAAGTCATTTGATTTATTTCTGTTCACAGTGTTGGATATTTTTATTTTACAATAAGTTGGTGTCGTTTTATATTTTTCCTGTGTGTACTTATCTTCAAACACAGCGCCATCTACTACCTTCTTAAGTGAAGTTTACGTTATATGATTTTGCTTACCATTTTCCATATGATTTTTCATACAATTATTCATTCGAATTTTGTTAGGGGTTGTTTTGGGGGTTTTTGTTTACGTTATATGATTTGCTATCAATAGTGTGATTTTTTGTTGAAATGAACCTCGAAGAATGTCTTCCTTTCTCTCGGTCGGTTACATATCGCATCAGCATCCCTGTGTTGCGGTATTCGTAATACGGCGCGCTCATTGGTCGTCTTTAGGGGTTCATAGTTCCGTAACGGTACTGATTAGACAAGCAGTTATTAAGTATTTTCTGCTCAGCTGGTTGCCTACTATCCAGGGTTTCAGTTTGGCAGCATACTTTTTTTACACCCTGTATAGTCAGCCTATCCAACAGTTTCAAGAGAGACATGTTGGAGTGAGACATCTGCATTTTCTTCTTCAAACTTTTAGAAGACTCGCCTTCGTTTCATAGACAGTGACTCGTAGGTTGTTGATCCTTCACCTTCATATTCTGTTTCTTTTGGTGTCTTTTAATGTAATTTTTTTTCTGCTTCAACTTGTTTTTTCTGTCTCCATTTTGTCCCTATTCTTGTTGTTTTTTAAATCTTTCTTCTTTTCTTTTGTTTCGTTCTTTAGCCTGCTTCTGCTTACTTTCTTCTTTTTTTGTAATGACTCAATGCTGCAGAATAGATCACTGCACCAAGTATAATCCAATACATGACACTCCCAATCCGTCATCTATTGGTTCTCGCTACTTCTTAGTACCAAAATAAATAGCTTTAAAACGGTTTTGGAAATTACTTTTATTAAGTCAATTGTATTAAAAAAGTAATGGAATCCAATGCATGACACTCAGTGTCGCTCATTGGTTTTATCAATATCCACTAAGCCAATGGTTGACACCAACCATAAAAAATGCCTGCCTTGTATTTTAAAAAATTAAATAATCAAACAACTTAACATTAACGTATAATGCATTCTCACGTTCCGAGATGTTTTTATTAAAACTACAAAAACTTTGAATTAAATTACGTTTTCTTAACTTCCTCCTTATGGAGTTGCTTAAGAATAAGCAAATAAACACGTGTTTTCCGACGGTCAAGAACAAATTTCGATTGCACAACGCCACAACTAACAGAGAACTGAATTTTGTGCACCATCCACTCACATGATGAACAAGCAACGTTGCCACATTTTACTAAATATAGGTAGGCGTTTGTATTTCTTAATCATTTTGTTTGAATTTGGGGTATCATCTATTGGTATGGACAACATGGGGTGTCATCTATTGGCCGTTTTACCTTAACTGGTATTGCAAAAATTAGATGTGCGCATGCGCAGTCAGTACCAACTTCTTTATTTATAAAGATATTTCTTTGAAATTTTAACCATATATGCCTCTAGTAAAGAAAATCCCTTTTGGAAAGTACTGATCATTCATGGAAAATGCGCTGAAGTTACTCGCCCTAGGGCGAAAACCTTTTTACTTGTTTATAATAATAGGCTACTGGATTTGGATTTTCTACCTGGCAGCTTTTCATCTGCTTTTGCAGCAAGCCATTGAATGGACGGTGTATGATCTTTTTCAACAGAAGTCATTTTATTGACAAAGATTGTGATTTTTATAAGCAAACGTTAAGTGACATTTCCATGGCACGAATAAACAACCCACTTAATTAGACATGTATTCGAGTATAACGTCAATATGATTACATTTTAATTCTCTCATTTTTAAATTATATAATCGTCTTTAAGGCATGCAGTTTGAAAACCTCAACTGCTTCATTGGGCGATGAAAATTGTCCACGCAGTTTATCTTTAATTACTGGGAGCGAAGTTGGGGGGGGGGGCTGTAAGGTGGATGACCCATAAATTAATAGTAATAAAGTTCTGGGGCATTAAAATAATCTGCCAGATGATCTGATAGCTGAATAGTCCCATACTTTTACCAAGTTGTATCATTTCTTAGTTGTTCTGAATGCATGTGATTCCTATTTCTACAAATGGAAGAGAGTAATGCCTTCATGGATTTCTCAGGAATGACTGATTTGATAGTGCAATTCAAAATCTTGTTTTAGTCGTACTTTTTATTTCTGTTCCAATATGCCTATAGTTGTCCCTTGCAGCCTGACAGCTATTGGCATAACTAAGAAAACACCCTGTATAGTATTGGTTTTTCTTTAAGGAACTGAGAGCCCTGTTTCAGATAGTAATGAATGTCATATTTCACTAACCTTGAGACAGTGACCTCATGATTAACAGGATTTAGTGCCTGTAAGGTGCTGCCCAAGAACTATTTTGCTTCATTTAATGTTTACCGGAAATTCACCATCAAAATGTGACAACAATAATTGGCGTTGGGGGGTTAAATGCAATGTAATGTAATTTTCCCTCAACCATTTTTTACTTATGAATGCTGTTCAACTGAAATTGTGCAACAATTCTTATTATTTTGATTCTGTTAAAAAGCCACTCCCAACTCAACAGATTACCCCACTCACCAATGGGAATGGTCGTTGACATTTTGGACCTTTTGAATATTGGGTCAATGTTTAGACGATATCATGTACGTAAATATTTAATATACAATCGAATTCAAGAGATATGACAAAATTACTCACTGTATTAAAGTACTCTAATGTGTAACATTTAAATTAAGATTGTTCTTGTTAACATTACTGAATCCCATTTAATTTTGCAGCAATTTCGATGGTGACGCAAATACTTTAGAATTAGGACAAGAAGTAGAATATAATTTAGGAGGTCGTGAGAAGTCTGGTAGTTGCTCATCGGCCGAAAACGTAAAGGTAATTTCGAAAGGAAGTATCGACCTGCCGGTAATATCCAGCGAGGTGTACGATGGTATCGTCATGCGACCGTTAAGATCTGTAAATCCCGATCAAAGCGAATACTCAGGTTTAATTAAGGTTATCGATGAACAAGCGAACGAAAAGACCAAGGAATTCGAATTCGGCATAATGGGCCTGGCGAACAAGCGGGAGCTATTGCAAGTTGGTGATCCTGTACAGTTTCAAGTCGATTCCACAGGTAGAGCTGGGAATATAATCGCTGTCCGAAAAAAGCTGCGAGCTACTGTCGATGCGATTAAAGGGCAATTTGGTTTTTTGGCGTACGAAGTGGAAGAAGGGAAGAAGTTGTTCTTTCACATGTCGGAGGTGAAAGACAACATTAACTTACAAGTTGGCGATCAAGTCGAATTTGTACTCGTCACTAATCAACGAAATGGAAAGTCTTCGGCTTGTAATGTTGTCAAAATGAGGTCGGTTGTATGTTGTCAATGTCTCTTTGCTAATTAAGGTCTATTTTCAGTGATGGTCAGTCTCGACCGGAGCGTCTAATTAGTCGATTACGTACTATATCGTTGGATGATAATGGTCCCAAATTGACAGTGATTCGACAACCAAAAGGGCCGGACGGCTCCAAAGGCTTTTTGTTAAATGTCAGAAGTATCCGTTTACCCGGTTCAGTAACCGAGTAACGTTTTAGTCATTGGTTCATACCATCTCTGCACTTGTACCCGGTGCGTCCCAGTCATTCGGTACATTAAGTACTAATTTATTTAGCAGTGAAGTCAGCAAAATTTTGTAATTTATAAGTCTATTGAATATGATTGAATTGATTTTTAAAAAAATGCTAAATTGTTATAAAACCGAAAATAAATTAAACTAGGGCGAGGAGTTCTTTTTTTTGGAATGTACACACCAATACTAGTAGTAGCTATGTTTATACATGTTGAATTTGAAAAATGCCATTCGCAGTCTTACTGTGCTTAATACACTGCTTCGAAACCAAAAATGATAATCCATTGACAAATATGAAATACAATGAATTTATTGTTACGTACATCATTTAAGAAATTAGAGTTATTAGAAAGACTGCATCGATAAGTAAACTATAAGATTTTTAAAATTTTATTTAGCAAACGTTTGAGTGTATTGTTAGTTTGCTGTTAATACAGTATCCACATCAATTGGCCTAACTGGCCTTGTGATTTGTCACTTCGTCTTTCTGTGATAATAATTGACTTATCATACTCGTAAAAAGTCCCTTTGTCATGTATGTACATTTTTACAATTTTCTTTTTAATTTTATAATTTTTAACGATATAAAGGCGAGTTATTTTATTATTATTTATTTGTTGTTTTTCTGCTCTCGCGCGAGATTGCAAAGCGCAGAATCCTCTGCGCCCACCCTGATGTGGGTATTGTAAGATGCAGTTCTGAATAGCAGTTAACAAATATCGATGTGGATTATCTTTATACTTGTAAAAGTTGTTTTAATTTGAAGGAAAATAAAATAATAAACATATAAGCCATTACTTGAATAAGTATGTATCTTTCACATTTGTTTGCCTCGTAATCGGTGGTGGCTTCTTCATAGGAGCTTGTGAACCCCCAAGCGAAAATCCAAAATGATATGAATTAATAGTGTACTTTATATCGATTGAATCTGTTAGAGACTGATATAAGAAATAAACATTTGGAATTAAAAAGACTACATTGAGCCTGTCCCATATAGATACGAATTAGATCATTTTGCGGCTGTTAAAATATGCACCATTTTTGTTTTTCTATGTAGACCGTTTTTTTTAATTTTTCAACGGGCTAACACCTATGAATTTAAACAAAATCGGGTCATAGATCAAACCAAAATGTATTGTTTGAAAATTAGGTGGATATCAAAATTTGCATTTCCTTTCGACCCTACAATTTTTTGCGTTTTCCAATGTTGTAAAAAATGTATGTTCTAAGAAGGATCTTGACCAAATTTGTTACTCTTACTAAACCCAAATTATTACTTATGATAAAAATTTTTGACATCTTAATTTACAAGAAAAATTTCAAACCAAAAATTCTATATTCACTTCCTCAACAAAACATCCACAAGTCGCTAGATCTTGCTGAATCAACATGACTTTGATGTGGCGCCCATAAGACTTAAGAAAGTAGTAGCTTCTACATCTAGTGATTCTCCGAAAAAAAGTGCCCATAGAAGCAGGTGCTAACAGTAACTGTCCATTTCCCACCAGTTAGGCTAGGGAACATTTTCTGTCACAAATCGGGGAAGCTTTTCTCCTATTTAACCTACACTGTTTTACGGAGATCCCTATAGTATGTGAGCCACGAATTTGAACTACAACTTGATACCTTTTATATTAATTGCCAACTGTGGAATACCTATTTGCACATATTACCCAACGCTAATGTGGGGTAATATATACTATTAACTATCCCCTCAAGGAGCTTGTGTTCTTGTTATTTAAATTAATCTTCTTTGTCATATATTGTGTCTGGTGGCGCTCCTCCGAAACGGTAACCGATTTTTATGGAATTTTTTGTACATTTGGTAGGAATGGAGATAATATATTTCATACCGTCAGGTAATTATATAGCATCTGCCATTCTTAATAAAAATTCTGCTATAAAACAAATGTATTATATACGACAATAAAGAAACCATCGCGTTAAAGTTAATTCACTTCATGGTTAAAACATCCCTTTGTATATCGTCTTGTTTGTTCTCTTTCATGCGTCTTTTCTTCACATCGCTTCCACCTCTTTCTTTTTCCTTAGCATCACTACCAAACTTTACAAAATCCTAGTGTAGGTTCCAGATTAGATGATGCGTATGAGTGATCAAAACATTTATTTTTTAAATTCATTGGGTAGGTACACAAAATGGGTATCCTGCATCAATCACTTGCAGATGTGTTGCACTTTAACTTCCTCGGTACTGCGCAAACGCAAGCGCGCTTAAATTTGAATTTGCTTTAACGCACTGGAATTAATAAAGTTACTGGAAGCACCATGACTGCTTTTTCCAGAACTTACATTGCTTTCCCCTGACCTTTTCTCCACAAAATATTCGCATTACAAAAGGAAAATTCAACTTTTTAAGGCAGCACGTTTTGAGGGAGAGCCTCAAGAACGTAGCACTGGGAGTCACAGCGCACGAACATCTTAGGATTATTATTTCTAAGTAATTAATTCACGATCTTCCCATTCAAAAAAATATTGGGTAGATCTATTTATTAATAATTTTATCCCAAACGAGAGCAACGAATCTTCTCATCAAAATATCCACGAAAATATCTTATGGTAATTGTAGGAACAGTCTGAGCCATCCCCTCTAGTGTACGAAAATGTTATGCTAGGTGTAGGGAAAGGAACGCTGAATTTTCATTTCCTGGGTAGGTATTTGAGACCCCCCCCCCCTTCTGCATTCTCCCCCAAAATATTTAATGGTTTTAGCACTTACACCGTAACGTTTAAGAAAGGACCACGAACCATAACACCGCAAGTCTGTGGGGTAGGGAAAGGAAGGTTTGATGGTCTTTTATAATAAATTGTCATGGGTGCCCTTAGGGCTGAATGTTTTTAAACAAGAACGAAGTACCGGGAGTCACAAAAGTCTAACGATTGATGTACTAAATTTGTTTCAGGGGGGGAGGGGGTTCCTTACGCCCGGACCTCAAGGGAATATGGGAAAGTTCCACATTTCACGATTTAGGGCAACTTTCGTTTGTTTGGGTCGTATTTTGGTTCCATTTGTTTACGTTTTGGATTAAATGACACGGACATTCGCCCACGTATATGATGGATGTAAAAACGTTTTGCAATTTGATTGGACCATTTTTTGAAACGGGCGAATCGTAGCGAGTCTTGCAGCTGTGACGTCATGATCACTATCTTCGTCACGTGACCAACTATGACGTTGCTGCCGTTCCCAGCGTGTTGTATTTTTTCGGTTTGCTGCTAATTTACGAAGTGCGATATTAAAATAAACTTTAAAAAAGTCAAATAAAAGACGGGAACAATTCTTTCGTTTCGGTTCATCATAGGTAAATCGGTGTTTAAACGTAATATTAAACTACAAAAAGTTATGGCCATTTTCTGATGTAAAACACAATGGGTACCTATATGGGTTCCCATTACTGCGGTTTACTCTATCATACTTCCATTGTATAGTTGCGAAAATTACGATCTGGCACATTTATTTCAAAACGCAGGCAAACGAAGAAAGATAGGAAAAAAGGACATGTCTCGAAAAGAAATAATAAGTATGTTTTTCTGTAATGCCGTCTGCAGTTCGCACGCGGTTTTCATCAATTCATTTTGTTCTAAAATATTGTTCGCGGTATACGGAAACGCTGTAAAAAAATTTGCTGTGGCTATCACAGATACCTATATACCACCTGCGCATGCGGATTCTCTTCAAAAAATCTTTTCAGTTTCTTCCTTTTATGTCCAAGAATGAATACTTACTAAATTTCGTTCCAATTCGTTTAGCCGAAAAATGAGAGTAGGTACAAACAGATAGGCCGATATCGAGATTTATTGTTTCACTCGGATTCCTAGTGCTTCAAAACGTACGTATTTCCGTCAACAAAGTGGAGGGGTCATTTTTTACCCCATTGCAATACCTTCCTTACTATGCGGGTGGTAATAAAATGCTGCATAAAAAACTCGGGTACGCCATATGGGTCCATATTTTAAACTCTCTATACGAATTCGGAATTATGGATTGGAATGTATTGCGGAGGACGACACAGAAATTATCCGCATATACGGTTTAAGACAGTGATATGCCGTTGCGGAGTTTTGTGTGGGGCTACAATTGATCTATAGATGTTTTCCTATTTATTTCGGTTTGCTCTGCGTTTTGAAATAAATATGCGCGATCGTGATTTGCGTAAGAAAACATCAAAAGACTCGGCCAGTGGAAGTGTAATGACTAGGCCACGTTTTTTTTTTCAAACTGAAACTTAAAAATATATAAAACCAAAAGTAACGTAAGAGAGAAAGTTTATTAGTGGGACACTTGTGCCTGATGTTGTTGGCATCTTTTGTCAATATCAGGCCTAATGTGAGAAAGAGCGACTCTCATTTCCTCTTCTAAATTAGTAGTCTCTCCCTTTTCTTATTTTTAATGTTTGTTAGAGAGGAGAAACCTAATTCACATAAATACGATGTTGAAAATTGTATTAAAGTATTTATAGCTACGTTGGAAAGAAGTGGATATTCTTCATGTTCAGAAATCCAAAATTCTTCATCGCTAACCTGCGAAAACTTCATTTTCAGAGTGCGGTCTGATTAAGAGGTAACATATTACATAATTATATTTCGCGGAACATTTGATAGGCATTCGCGGAGCACCAATGTTCCGCGGAACGCTGGTTGAGAACCACTGATCTAGAAGGAACCGAGACGTTGCGCTCGGGTCTATAACAGACAGCGTTTGATTTTCCATTTTTAACGCATTTTCCAACGAAGTTGGGTACGCTATTGCAGCCACATTCTCTGTCCGAGGCCTTAACTACTCATACAGTTCTCAAGGTATTAAGTTCGTTCTTTTTGCATTCGGTAGCGTATAGCTCTAGCACCTGAGCCAAGGAAAATCTTGACAATTAAACTGCGCAATGTCAACTTCCTTATTTATTGATATATTTTGTTGAAATTTTAACCACATATATATTTCTGGTGAAGGCAAACATATCGCATATAGTAACAATCAGATGTGCGCATGCGCACACTGCGCAATGGCAATCTTATTTATGGAGATATTTCTTTGAAATTTTAACCAAAGTTGCTTTATGTAAGCAAACGTATCGCATATTGTAAACATCAGAGAAATACCCGCATGCGCAGGACGCGCAATATCAACTGTTATTTATCGAGATATCTTTTTGAAATTTTAATCACAGTTGCTTCTGTTAAAGGCATGCGCAGTCAGTGCCAACTTCTTTATTTATCAACTCACTCACAATATAGACGAATCTTATACAATATTTATAAGCGAATTGTGGTGGCGTCGTATATAAGTTGATAGATTTGGAAACATTATTTTCTCTCTTCCATGAAATGTGTCAGCCCATGCAGAAAACAATTTTTTTTCCTAAAATTGCATAGCGGTATAGGGGCGAGTACAAATGTGCAAGGAGTGCACAGAAAGTAAGTTTCCATTTTGATTCTAACTTTATTTTCCATTTTTATATTATTCTCTTCACTTCCTACAATAAATCTATAGCTATAGCCATGCGAACTTAAAATAAGAAAAAAGGCCCTACAATAGATTCTTGAGGAACTCCATTAACATTTAAGCAAACGAGGAAGGATTATATTATCAAAAAGGTGCAGAGAAAATTGGTATAAAGAGACGCCTCTCTTAGATGATTTAGGTGCATAATACTTGAATATTTATTATCTATTTTATACAATTCTACACCACTTGGATTTTTGTACTTAAATCACTATGCACTCGTGAGGTAACGTTTGATCCCTAGTGATACCACGTGGACAAGCTGAAAAAATTGTTTATTTTGATGAGGAAAATGAGGTGAAAAGGTTATCATACCCCGATTACAGCGTAAACCAAAGTATCCAGTACCCTCGCATAAACATTTGTAACCGGGATGATGAGATATTTGCAAACAACTGCCTCCGTGTTGACATGGATTTGGTGAGCATATATCGGTACGTTTACCTAAAATTAAGGATGCATACAATGCTATCAAAAAAATCTATTTGAGACCTCTTAATGCGTTATTACACTCCTGAATTGTGTCGTAGCGATATTCGTTCATACAACCTGATCCGCAGGAGCAAGCTCTGTTTTGTATACGACAACCCTGGCGGATTTGGTCCATGTCGCAACTATGAACCAAATACACACCTATAAAAGCGATAGTGAAGCCTTCTTTTGCAAGAAGTAGAATGCCACTTACAAATAAGGACAAGAAGAATTAGTTTCCACATTTGGTCAAATAAGCACTTTACTTCACCAAAAAAATACACTAAGACGCGTGTATACTGTTAGCTGGAGATGCAACGTATGTACAGATAATTGTGTCGTTGCCCTCACTTCCTATATTTTCTAAGTGATAAGGGGTCCTTAGGGCGAGAGAGGCGATATTTGAATATCAAAACGTAAATTAATCTAAACTTGATAAAAACATTTTATTTTATTACATTCGATATAGTAAGTTACAAACGAAAATGGGACTTATAGTGCGTCCTTCCGTTGGGTATCGCTCCTTGTAGGCGCATCCTTCGTATTGCTTCGCGGAGGTGTTTCGGTTGAACTGGACCAATTTCGTTATGTTCCTCCATGACGTCGAGAGCTGCAATTAAATAGTGTGTCAAATTTTGGCGCAATTCGCTGGCCCCACCCGATTGAAATCTCTTCTTGGTGGATTGAGATTAAATCTCAATATATAGGGTGGTCATTTTGGGCGTTTATTCAAACATACTTTTGAAATGAACCATCTTTAAATTAATGATTACGTATATATGAAGGCCCATGTTTCTCGAAATTGAGTTGACAGGTAAAGCGAGTAGGTAACGAAACTCAACTTTTGAGAAGACTTTGAATTTTGTTGAACTATAAAGATTTTATTTAATACGGAAATACAGAAAGTATAGCTAGTAACTTCATTATTTTAAAAGGCAATCCCTATTTTTTATTGAATTTTTGGATTCTACGTAAAATTTCAGGTTCATTTGATACCCACACATGTCCTCCCACAATTTATGGTTTTTAACTTTTTTTAAATTTCTTAAATTTGGATCTCCATAAGAGCGGTCGTATGCAACTTTACTTTTTGAAGTATACTAAAAGAAAGACTTATTCTTTCTCAATGCACTGGTAAAAATGGGTTGCCATAACTACAACTGTTTTCAAATAATCAATACTTTAAGTATAAAAAAGACATTAAAATAAAAAATTATTAAAATTTTTTAGGTACAGTGTGCATCCGCCATTTTTTTTAAGTCTAAATAATCATAAATTGTAGATATTGACATGTGGGTATCAAAATAACTGAAATTTCATGAAAATGCAATTAAAAACCTGCGGGACCTTTTTTTATTTGAATACAATGGTAGCTTTGTGTTCTACTACTCAACTTAACCAATTCTCAGGTTTAGATCTGTACTATCTGCCTATTTTTACATAGCAGGCTATTTGACAACTAAAAGTTTTGAAAGATTCCATAGAACTCAAAGGCAATACAGACATCAAAGAACTGACAGATCCGAATAGATTTAAAGGCCTAAAATCCCTAAAAGGCTGTCTCTTAGAGACTATAAAAGTTCGTAAAAGACTGGCGAAACTCTTGGGGATACTTCAGATGTTAAAAAATCCCAAACACTTTTAATAATTCATAAAAGAGCTCTTAAAGATTCCATTTACGGCTCGTACTTTTACCAGCCGGAACCATTCATGGTTTTATTACTGGAGCATCTTTAATTTTTGCTTTAAAACAAATGATCGGGATGGGAAAAATATAATCTTCCTAGAATCTTGAAATTCGTGACCTGATTTTGATTGTTACACAATTTGAAATGTTTTGTGGATTTTCTTTTTCTTTTGTTGTCTTTGTTAATTTAATTCGTGTGGGCTATGTCAGGGTTTTTGTCCCAAAGAAGGTTTCCCTGACATCGCCTGGTTATGTGCGTAATATATTTACGTTCTCGTCTTTTCTTACGCACAAAATTATGGGTTTGTATTTAATTTCCTTTCCCATTTGTGTTTAAAAAGAACCGCCAGTTTTAGCACTGCACAGATTCGACAGTGCCGCGAAACGTCCGTCGTTTTGACATGAAAGTAACAGTGGTTCTATTCATAAGTATGGGGTAAGTCAAGATTGCAGTCGCTTCTAGACTTCTGCTGCTAAGTACTGCGGGCGTTGTCATTGCGAAAAAACAAAATGATTTTTTTAAATTTTCCCTAACAGTGGCGTACGTAGAAATTTATTCTGGGGGGGGGGGGGGGGGATTAAACAAGTTCGTGGCACATACAGTCACCCAGTGCGTACTAGAAGGGGAGGGGGGGGGTAAGAAATAGAAATTGGGTTGCAGGTTGCTGATGCTGGTAGTCATTTATCTATTTATTATTGTACAGGCGAAAAAGATTAGATTAGAACGGTATTTTATTTCTTACTGCTGACAGGCCCCTTTATTGCTTTTGCTTTAATTAGTCAACGAAAACTTTGAACAATAGGTATATTTATGGGCAAAACGGACCGGACCTATTGGAATAACGGTTCTGGTTCACATTTATAACGGTTCTAGTTCTAAACGTAATTGTGTTCAATCTTTTTAACGCATTTCCAAGGAAAGGGGGCGCTATTGTAGCCACTTTCTCTGTCCGAGGCCTTAACTACTCCTACAGTTTTCAAGATATTTAGTTCATTGTTTTTGCATTTGGTAGTTTATGGCTCCAGCACCTGAGCCAAGAAAAATCTAGACGATTAATGTGCGATGCGCAGGCTGCGCATTATCAACATTCTTATTTGTTAAGATATTTATTGGAAATTTTAACCACAGATGCTTGTAGTAAAGGCAAACATATCGTAAATGACCTTTCAGGTTAAGTCGCCTACTTTTAGTTTTGCATCACATATTTTGCAGGTAGATATTTTGTTATTAATATCATAAACAAAATGTTTATGTGCATTGTTTGATGATATTCGTCCCATTTTCTACTTCGCAAATCGCATTAACAGCATTCACTATACAAGTATTCACACAATTGAGAATTGCACAACAAAACAAATCTATTTTTAAAATGGTTGTGGCTAAATTATCGGCTACCTTTTTCCTTTCCCTTTCTGGCTACGGCTTAAAGTAATATTTTATCTTTTTTCAGAACGCGTTGGCCGGCGCGTCCTTCAACTTCCAATAACCTGTTCAGAACCGTAAAAAAACCGAAAAGAACCGAAAAAAATAATAACGGTTCCGGTTCTCAATAAGATTCAATTTCTGAAGAAATAACGGTTTCGGTTCGGTTTTCGGTCCTGAAAAAAATACCGGTTTCGGTCCGGTTTTCGGTTTTTTTTCGGTCCGGTCCGAATCCCTGGCAAAAAACCAATTTCGACAAAAAATTCAAAGGGCTGTAACTTTTGATCTAGTAGTCCGATCTTGGAGCTGTTTGAAATTATGGATTCTACAGGCCACATTCTATAAGAAAATATTTTTTTCCGGTCGATCTGAGACAATTTTTTTTCTGGGCAAAAAAAAAAGGCAGTTATTACCTTCCTTTTTTACCAAAAATCGACTCGACATTCGACGATTCGTACTTTTTCGATTAGACGTCTAGGAACAGACAAACGTATAAAATTGCTTGCTAAAACACCTCCTCACTGTTTATTTTTCCTGATAGGGATTTATCTTTTGGATCTGGATAAGTGAAATGCACCTATTTTGCCCTCCTGATACAAGTTTTCTATAGAAATGCAAGGGAGTGCGTATGTTCTCCTGCCACATTCTATAAGAAAATATTTTTTTCCGGTCGATCTGAGACAATTTTTTTTTCTGGGCAAAAAAAAAGGCAGTTATTACCTTCCTTTTGTACCAAAAATCGACTGCACCAAAATTTCTCGGGAAAAAACTTTTTCTTATTAATTTGGGTGCGTAGAATCCAAAACGATTCGTACTTTTTCGATTAGACGTCTCCATCAAAAGTTATGGGCAAAAAAAATTCCTATATTCCTATATCCCCCCCCGTAAATACGCCACTGTTCCCTAACGTCCAAATAATAATGTCCACCTTGTTAGTAAAAGATCGCAACCTGTTATAAATCACTGCTACTTTTTTTTTAGTAATTGGTCAATAGAAGTCGTTGATCTATAGGTCTGGTACCATAGAGATAGAAGGTTACCCACAATGCAGCACTGTCTGTATGGCTGCCTATATACGTATTCACTTCCATTGATTGCTGATGCTATGTAAACATAGGTACTTTAGTGAGACCACAAGGGTTCGATTGCTTCCACTACATTGTCCATAATCATAAATAATAATAAAGGGAAACACTGGTGGCCTTTAAAGTTACAAAAAGTAAAATAGTTTTTGTTTTATTCATTTTGGACTGGGGCAAAATAACAGACAGGCCGGGACACCCAATCGGGACTGACCCGGTCAAAATGGATAGTCTGCTTTTACTAGACCAAATTGAATGCAAACAGTGCTAGCAAACTCTACTTCTAAAAAACTATTACCTTCCTCCACGACTTCTCCTACGAATACTTTGGCGATACCGGCCATTGCAATGACCACATTCTGCGAAACGGAACAGCCTGTAATCGTCTGCATAAGTCGCTTTATTGCCGCTTTCGGAAATGCAGACCGCCGATACATCTCGTACCGATCGAGCTGGTCCTCGGTAAAATTAGACACCAGCACCCTAAAAACTCGATCAACAATCATTCCCGACCGACGACATTTACTTACTGCATTTTCTCTCGTTCCTCTTCTTCGAGTTCTTTTTTGGTTTTCACCTCCTTTTTCTTAACGTCGCCCGCACCCACGTGATAAAGTTGGGACGCTTCGGGTAAAATAATGTCCGTCTCCATTTTCTGGTAAAACTCGACTTTGGTGTCTTCCGCGTCGAACTCCTCTTTCATATTTTCCTCGATAGCCAGGGACATCTCTCTGGAGTCGTCGTCCCCTTGGTCGGAGTCGTAATTTGAACAGTTCAAGTCGTACTCGAGTTGGTCTAAGACACCCTGTTCCTTGTTTAGAATGTTGTCCATTTCAAAATTGCCGCGCTCGGGAGGAAGCGCCCTCTGGCGTATGTATCACTAACAACGCCCAACCAATATTCACAATTGTCAATTGTAGTTCAATTTACGATAACCGTCCAAATTAATTTTTGGAAAACTTGGCGACTTCTGTAAATTTCTCTTTGCAATTTGCCGTCTATTTTATTGCTTGCGCGAATTTGAAACCAAACCGAAAAAGCGCCTCGGTCGCACAGAAACGTAGCGGTGGCGCTAGTGTCAACGTCAGTCAATAAATCACGTTCCTCTGTTTGACAATATCCTTCTGTTTAGTGTTTATTGAATAAAGATAACTCAAAATTAACAACAATCGCCAATTTCTTCGCACGAGTGAATCGGCCGAATTGTGTTGCGTGTATTAAAATCGAAACGTGCGCGAAATTTTGATGGTTCACGTCGTATAGCCATAAAAACTGCTCGACTTTTTCTAGATTTTTAAATTCGCTCTCTGCTTTGTTTCATTTCTCTTAAAAAATGAATTTAAATTAGTACGGGAATACGAATCCAACACACCTTCGAGTTGGTAAGTGAAAAGTGCAATAGCATGTTCTGTCATGGTGGGTGGTCTACCATTAGAATTAATCGACTAATCGAGACTCCTTTTCAGGTGCTCGTAGGTGCTCGGACCTGCAGTAGTTGAATGGGGCTTGTTGTGCCCCAATTATTTTGCACTGGCTCCGACTTCAACCACCACCATTACCCCGCTAAATACAGAAGGTAAGGGAACGGTTGTTTACCACGTTTATTTTGCTTTGTTACCTCGGCTAATAATAACTACATTGCATTTCGACACAATATTTATATTGAGGAATTTCGGAATGTTCTTTATTTACATGCATTGCTGCAAGTTTTTATTTTTAAAATTACTTCTTTGAGTTGGTTATTAATTCTACAGAGATCTGGTAGATGGTGCACCAGTCCTCACTTTTACAGGGTGATTCTTTCAACTAATTTTTTTAATCGGAACTTGCATACAAGAAAAGTGCTGAGAATTGAAAGTGGTTAAATATTTCGAGATCACCAAATAAGATCTTTGTTTGGTACAATTTATAATCTTAATTAATTAATCATAACAATAACATCCTTTTTGATGTTTGAGTTTGTATATAAACTAATTTTTAGTAATATGTAGCTTTATAAACATGAGATCATTATGAATTAAGGAGTAGCAGTGGCAGATGATCAGTGATGTTCAATAGGTTATAGTGTATAGTATATTATAGCCTAGGGCCTAGGAGACACGAGCTTACTCCAGGGACTTATAAGTTATATTTTTTTCTAATAAGTAAAAAAAATATTTGTAACTTCAATGTGAGCAGGCGTGGCGTGTATAGGCAACTAAACCGAGACTAACTGTATGGTTTCTGGTTAAATAAATAAATAAATAAATAAACTATCATTACGTTGCAATTAGAGTCACATTTCTTTTGCATATTTTAGGGCATTTCCAATGAGATTATGTTATTATGTTCACCTTGCATAACATCTTTACATACAGGGTGTAGCACCTAAGACCCCTCGGATCATAATTCCTTTACCAAAAAAGTAAAAAAATTGTACACATTTACTGTCGCCATATTTCTAAAATATTTTTGATCACCAGGGGCGTGGTGTATTCTAGTGGTGTATCAAACTTGCGTTTTTTTTTAATGGAACACCTCATATTTTATTACACCCATAGGAACTTTGAGAAATTCTTTTGGAATAAACATTTACGCCTTCAAAGAAACCAACGTTCTAAATGTCAAGTCCCTTTTAGACTGTAAAACATAAAATTCTGTTTTCTCATGTTACCGTTCCCGTGGGAATTTCGGAAGGTGTTTTACTAACTTTGAAACTTTCGCGGGCATACGTCCAACCATTCCCTAAAGTTTAATCGCAATCGGATGAATGGTTTAGACAGACCAGACAGACAAGCATTTGTTTTTATTTATATAGATGTTTGCAGACTTCTCGTTTCAGAACATGTTGAAGATTTGTTGCAAAATTGCAACGTGTACACTTTAAATATTTTAAAGTAAGTATTGCGTTTTTTGAAGCGGCAAGCGTTTGTTGGTCATTATTACGCACTGCGTGATTTACAATTATACTCCAAATCGTGAGTAACTTTTACTTACCTATCACTTTTGCATTTGGTAGTTTTTAATTTGACGGTTGTTGGCATTAGTTCTCTTATTTACTTTTATAATAATTTTCTTTAAATTTTTTTCGATTATTTAATAGTTATTCTGCTATTCAGGTCGGAGACTAATCCAGCAAATCAAAGATCATGAAAATCGATTTTGTTTTATATTCTTATACAGGGTGATTCACGTAGCCCGTTGGTCAAAAATTTTTTAATTCGCAGTTGAAATAGAAACTTGAATGTGGTTCACAGCCATAATCGACTAGGCATTGTGAATTGAAATAAAATCATTTCAAAATGACGGTGCTTCCGTAAATATCGGAAGTTGACACCATCTTGGTTTTTTTAAATAGAAACACCATTTTCTATTATTTCTAAATGCGGCATTTTATTCTGAATTCAACGCATTCAAAATTCGCGTACTTATCTGTCATAGTTTTTGACATATGTCAACTTTTCTCTAAAAATTTGAAGATACAAGGGTCCTCTAAAGATTCACATCTCTTAAACCGTTCAAGATAGTGCTCTTTTTTATAATCGAATCCTTTAAAGTCTAAGGAATATTTTGAGTGACCTCTGGAAAAGTGTTGAGGGCTATTTTTCAAAATTGGCAGTAAAAAAAATATCAAAAACTTCAGTTTTTCAAATGGTAACTACTATTTCTGATGCCAGAAATGAATGCAGATGTGAACTTTAGGGTCATGTTTGCCTTCTGGTTTGCCTACATCCGGTAGTTTTTGAGTTATTGGCATTTTTCGAAAGAAACATGATTATTTTTTGATTAGGTGTGGTCGATGGGAAAATCACTGTAGAATTTTGGTGTATACTAGGTACTAGCATTTTGTAGAATGTTCTACAATTCTTTTAGAATTTTCCTAGAATTCTTTAGAAACTTCTAGAATTTTTTAGAACTAACTTTTTAAGAATTTTTTTCCGAGCGCACATGCACACACAATTATTATTTTATACAATTTTTAGTACTTTCTAAATTTTTTAGAATTTTAGTGTACACAAAATTTGAAGTGGTTTACGGAGACTGTAGAATTTTGGTGTAAACTACTAGCATGTTGTAGAATGTTCTAAACTTTTTTTTTATTTTAGAATTTTCTTGAATTTTCCGAACACATGCGCACACACAATTATTATTTTATACAATTTTGAGATTGCTCTAGAATTTGTTTTGGGATTTTGAAAATTGTTTAGAATTTATTTTAGAATTTTAGTGTGCATAAAATTTGAAGTGGTTTACCCTCGGGTTTACCCTTCGGATGTGACTCTGGAAGCTATCGTTTCATTCCTATTAATTATATCCTTTTTTAGAGAATTTTCCAACGAAGTATCTTTGTGTCCTTGATAAGTGCGCCTGAATATCGCAAACCATTCACGGCCAGATTATTGTGATTCTTAGAAAAACTGTAGGCAAATAATTAATTTAAGATTTTTTAAATTTTTACTTATCGACAGCTTGCGTGCGAGGTATTATGCTTTGTAAGCTTTTCCTTTCTTCAGGGGTTTTGTTTTAGTTGCTTCATGTGTTTCGGAATAAATTTTTGTCATGGTCGATCAATTAATTTGTTTCCTCGAATCTTTTGTACAGAGTTTTTCCGTATAGCAACATATATATCTTTGACAATTTTTAAAAATATAGGAGTTGCCTGATTGGTGTGCCAGGAAAATTCGCATCTTCGAATCTTGAAATTGTGTTGGAAATTCGCATGACATTTGAAAACGTGAAGTAAATTTTGGAAATGTCTTAGGTATCGATTCTAGTAGACAGTCCATTCCTCTTGAGGTATTGTGTCCCAAGCAACCTGTAGTTAATTCTGTAGAACTTCCAGCGCCTACAGAGGATGCGGTAAGTTCTTCTCCCCATAATGTCCCAAACGTGCTCGATGAATAGGGATTCATGACTGGACACCACCCTAAGCCACTTTAGCTTCCAGTGCAGTCGCAACCTAATATGTGGCTGATAGGATTGTAAACCGTAAGCTCTCATGCTTCAATTCGATTGTATCGAAAACCAGTATGTAATCAAACATTAAATCAATGAGTCATCAAAAATTAAAAAAAATTACCTTTGAACTTCGAATCGCAACCTTGTGAGCTCAAATGGGCGCGTTCGGCCTTTCCTTTAACAGAAAAAAAACACAACAAACAAAACAGGTAGCGAATAGCGCGGAACATAAAGTACTGCGTAAGCAATGCTAACGTCTAACACGGAGGCAATAATTAATACTCAATAAGAATCAATAATTCGAATGACTTTACAAAAAGCAAAAGCAACATTTTGATCAGACCACGATTGTCCTTACAATTACAATTCTGGTATAAAAGCATAAACGTGATGTTAAATTCAAGAAAGGTACTTTACGATACACAAATAACTAAATTTCTATTATACTAGTCAATTCAAAATGTAAATACTAATATAATATGAGCAAATTCTTCGGAGTAAACAAATAACCGAGCAAATAACGTTATTAAAAATTATAGATGTCGGCTTCGGACAAAGTCTCGGTAACTTCAAAACTAATTTACAAAGCAACGGTAGCTAAATATCAAATCAGAAATCAGAAAATCACTTACACAAATCGGATGTCGATATCAGCAACGACAAAAACAAAGTACGTAGTATCGGGTATAATGGAGCGATTTACAAGAGTAATATTATCCAAGGTTTCGTTAATACTTGCGAGTACAATTCAGGAACAATATCGAAATCTCCAAGTACAAACTTCGATGTAAGTAGTAATGTTGGTAGAATGAAGTAGATTCACATGGTTTATGTAGGTAGAATGTACAAAGCGTGAACTCTAGCAACAAGACAAAAAAGTAGATAACAGAAATCTCTAATACTCGAACGGCCTCTAACGGCAAAACAAAGAACTCGGTAAAAGAACTCTACTACAACAATAATCATTTACTCTTAAACGAATGGATTACTAAGTAAATACCTAGAATATTCGAATTTAGATAAAACTTAACAAACCGGTACTAGAGAATCGGCCTGTTGTTGCCATAAGTCGAAGATGGCGGACCTGCACCTCATTTGTTTTATTTTGCCCCTCGGTTTCTCGTCTGCGACGATCCTGACCTTCCCTAGTCCGTGCCTGATAGCAGCAAGTGATGGCGGAAAAACAATAAGAACTAAACAAAATCTCGCAAAACATACCTACTTACACGTTATAATAGAAGAAACTGAAAGAACGTCAGATAAGCCACTACCACTTGATCCATATATGAATGAAGTTTTGATCAATTGTTACCTTGACAAGTTTGGTCAAGAAATTCACACTCCTTCTTGGTGTTGCGATTTCCGTGTCAGTGAGTATACCATCAAGTAAGTAGCACCTAATCACCCTTTAAATTACATAGATTGTACTCTCGATTGTACTTTACGGTTCCAAGTCTTTATCATTCATGGTCTCATCGTCACTACGTTTCTACAATGTCAACTTGATAATTAAGTGCAAATTATCGCTGTCGCCTTCCTTCACTTACACTAATTAAAGGCATCTATCTCACCCATGCATAAATTTCATAAAACGACTTAGGCGCCAACAGAACCGGCAACAAGAAGCACGAAGAAGCCGCATGCACTTTTCAATATGTTTATAGCATCTTTCAATTTACTAGATCATAAACGTTTTTTTTTGCAAACGACCATAAATGGGACGAGCCCATTAAATATGGCGTTTGTGGACGAACTTGTAATTTACAGTTTTTACTTTTATCTAACGGCTTCTGTATCCATCAAGATTACTTACTGACCTTTGGGACAACTGCATCCCGCAGTGCAATTTCCTTACATCTTTAATACGTGAACGGTTTTAAGACTTCTCTTAACCTTAATTTGATCCGTAATGGTCTCTTGTTACAGAGTGCCGTTAATTTAACGTT